GGTCCGAGTTACAGTCGTTTGTGAACCACGGACGCTTGGAAGTGTATTTCCCGCCAAAGGAGCCCCGTGGCTCAGAAGTTTGGGCCTGTCTTGGTCCCGCACGCGGGGATGGATATTGCAGGGTCTTTTCTGGCGAATGGAACCCAAGAATAAGAATTTAAATGGCGGGAAAAATATGGGCCATTACAAACCAAGTACAGGCAGCAATCCCCTTGAAATACATGTACTTTTTCATGCCCGTCCGTTCCGTCTTGCCGCACACGATCTGCCAGCCCACTTTCCATGTGTCGCGGCTCAATTGAGCTCATAGACTGAAATGGGGAATTTGCCCGCCATTTATGTCTCTGTTGCTGCAACTCTTTTATACACTTACGTTTGTGTAGCGTGCTGATCATTTCCCAGCTTTTTCATTCGGTAAAGTGATTAGTTTGAGTCACAGTTCGAACCATCGATCCGTGCGAACTTGAACTGTGTAAGTCATGCACTGCAGGTTCCGCAAAAGTTCATTCCGAGGCCAGTCCGCAGGCGCTGAGTTGTGAGATACTGTTGAGTATCAATGTCAACTTTTGAGTATTTGCTCATCTGATAACCTGGTCGCGAAACCCGGGATTTAGACTACAGCATCTGACACATGTGGCCAACATGTCGTTATATAGCTTTTTCAACTCCCACTTTGCGCGCAAGGAAGACATCCGAATGACGACGGTAATGAGTATAGGGCTCGGAACAAGTCGGGCAATTCTGGACCCGGGGGAAGTGGTTCCCGTCATGAATGTCGTCGTCGTGGTGGGCGGTGCTAGCATACCCAATACTCTACCAGCCACGAATTCGCGGAAGCCGCGCTCACCGAAACATGACATCATGAATTTTTTACTCACCCCAAATGATAGGCCTAACAATGATCGATAAACAGTTTGCATGAGCATGCGCAGACTACCGTTTTCTGCAAAACCCAACTTTCAACGCTCAGCAAACACGCAATTAACGTGAGACAGCGCGGTCTGATGCTAATCACTGCGCTGCCCAATTGCCTTGAAGGATGTTCATGTGAAGGGTTCGGCTCTTCTTCAAGTTGACTTCAAATTCAAATACACAAGTGCACTCAACGCATTGTTAGGCACAAAGAAAGGCAAGTTCATAGTTTAGTAATATTTCCGGGCTCTGATTGCCTGATCAAGAATAGAAATTTTGTTTTCTCTTTATTTCTTCTAAATTTTGAAATGCATCTTTTTGCTTAAGTTGTGATGTGTAAAATGAACGTTACAGTCGATGTCTGTCAAGGTTGAAATACAACGTCTGAGTCGGCCAAGTGCTCTTTTATGGTTTCGAAATTGCGACCCGCTATGACTAGAACTTAGAAATGCATTTCAGATTCAAGCACAGAATATTATTCACATTTCATGAACTTTGGCCTGGCGGGTTTTATTTTGTAACATGCATTCCTGTTCACCCGGTGCGCGCGAAGTGCAAACATGAATGGAAGGCGGCGACGGAAAGGTCGCCATCCACCGATTCCATTTTTCATGTGAAAGTAACCACCGAAGACATGGAGTCAGATGAAGTCCATTAAGTGCGAACAACCCTGATTTGTTATCCCAACATCTTCTCAATTTTTAAAATGCTATTATAAATTGTTGCCTTTTGTAGGCCCCCGACAAAGTCCCCGAGGGAATACAGAATTAGAGTTTTTGTAAATATTTGGGCACGCCACTTCTTGTTGATGTCACAGACATGCGTTTATATATCTGTGGGTGATGTCGCCCGTCATCAGTTGGTTTGTTGCCCAGAAAGGCACATGCAAATCTGCGCAGAAACGATCATAATGACTGAGTGCACATTGCGTAACAGTAATTTCATTCAGAAAATACGGAGTGTACTGATAGGCCAACGTGTACATGTACATGTACCCACCTGTACATTACGGTACATGTACACGTAGGTGGTTAGAAATAGTTCTGATATGATCTCTCTCGTTGGAGCCGATCGAGGTACAAAATCGTCCTAAAACCAGTGTCCTCGAAAAAAAATTTCTTTTCACCCTAAAAGAGTCGGGTTTTTTAGCCTTCTCACACCGGGGGGGGCGGAATCTGTCCCTCCCTCAAAACTCGGCCATACGATGATGTGTTTCAATGAAATTTGGCAGTGTTATACAGACATACATACTAATCGTCTGAGCGAAATTATATGTAAATTAATTAAGTTTGTGCATAATTATGACTCATTAATTATTCACTCTGCCCTTTATACGATGTGTGTACAAAGTCAATGGTGTGTACAAAGTCAATGGTCCCGTACTTCACCCTGCCTCCTAAAATTCTTCACTGAGAGAGAACACCGCATACAATTTCGATATATTTGGAGTCAAAATGAACCTAATGCATTGGAAAAAATTGTCCAAACGTTTTAGCAAGCAGAAAGTAATCACAGAGATGCTATCAGCAAAAAATCAACCGGGCGGAGACGGGTTCTAACCCCCCCCCCCACGGCTCTTTGATGGTTAAGCCAAGTTACACTTGTGTCTCAGTCGAGGGGGAGTTTGAAAACCTAAGGTTCTGTCTAAATCATGGGTAATTCTTAACTTTGGCCTACTTTCAGTATTTCCGTCTGGGTATAATATTTAATAAATCAACCGTAAGTCGTATTCTTACTGGTGATTGGTCTGTCTTGCGCAAGAACAGCAAACAGTATAGGTTAGATTCAGCGATTTCCTGCTGCTTGATTGCGTCATCATATTCATTGTTACATTGGCACAACTCCAAGTCAGTGATGTACAATAACTGCGGCTGCGCGTGAACCCCCCCCCCCCCCGGCCGGGATAATAGTGTCTCGCCCTCCATTCATTTTTTTTTTCTTTTTAAATATCCCGGCAATTTTATTCACATTAAGCCGCACATCGGTCCGTTTAATGCAGTTTTAATCCTTCGGACTGGAAGCCTTGGGAAGACGCCTTGTGAGACTAGAAGACTTCAAACAGTAAAGAAAAGCCTATGTCATTAACAACGTATAGCTGCATAATTAGGTTGATCCTTAGTAAAAAGAATTTTACTACTTTTCAAGGTTAACATCAACAGTTTGCCGCCACCGCCTTCACGTAGACAGTTGGAACAAGTGAATTAAGAAGGCAACTTCCTTGAATTTCGGTAAGTCTGGTGCATTCAGTTCCCCTCTTTATGTTTGTGTTTTTCGTCTTTATTGATTGCTGTTGTTTTGCAGGTTCTGTTTCAGCGAACTTCTTTTTGTCTGTCTGTCAGCAAAACCTATAGGGGTGTAATTTTGTTAAATGACTTTATAGGCTCTCTTACGATCGGTATTATTATTGAGATGAGCTAGACTGGCATTATAAGACTGCTTGCGGCTCAATAATCACATTCTTTGGAGTACTGGATAATAGTTTCATGTTGTTGGTCTAGCTAGTTGAATTCAACATGACAAAATTAATGCCAGTGCAAAAGTGTGATCATTTTCTGCAATGCAACATAATCTAGCTTAGTTACAAACTGTAAACAGTACTCCATGCCAACGATATAACAACATTACAAGGCTAACGTCCATGCATAGTTTGCATTTGGGAAAATCTCGAATACGTATACACATCATGTTATCGCGAATCCATATTTAAATACCAGTCAGACTGGGTTTGAGCGGTAAAACACCCCCCGAAGCACCTGCCCTGAAATAGCGGGCTGTCGTGGAAAGTATACACAGATTAATATGTTTTGCGTAACAGCGCAGTCTGGATTATTGTAGGATTTGGGCAACTTGCCAGGCAAATGCGCAAAAATCTTTGTCGGAAGAGAAAAAAGAGGAAATGCTTTGCATTTTAAAGTACACAATGTACATGTATGATGCTGTGTGGCGTATGACCTTGTGAGCTCTTGAACTCTTCCCTTGAATAAGAATGGAATATCCCAATGTGTCTGATTGGTGCATGCCTGCGAGGTTATTAATCCATTGCCCAGTGATTTCATTCACAAAACACCCGGCCTTCGCAGCATCCAGATAAGACGGTTTTACTACGCGCATTACACAGTATACATGCAGTGACAACAAAACTGGCAGCCAGTTTAAGGAATTCAAAAACGGAAAACTGATTCCGTTCGTCAAGAAAATCGTTTAATCTACTTCAAAGTGTCCTAAATCGGGATCACTTGTTCTCCGACAAATACATGTAGGCTAGCTGTGATTTACAGTCGGTACCGTCCACAGTGTGCGAACGACGTCACCAGAATTTGAAAGCCCGACCGGCCACGTGGACCTAGGATCGACCTTCAACTTGAAGTTGGTAAGTCCAGTTCATATGTTGTAATTATTAGTAGTGCACAAAAGTTGTTTACATTTTTCATGATTTAAGTGTAATGTGTGATGCTGGCGCACAATTATGCATGTACACCGAGCAGAGACGGCGTGTAGCTCAAACATAGAAAGGTGTTTACAACAATAAGCCTGCAGTTCGTAATGCGGGTGCTTTTAGTTTTCAAGGTCAGGTAGTAGGGGGAAAAAAGTGGAGTAAAACCAATTCAACTCATTTCTCTGAATGTCCTTTCCTGACCTGGATATTTTGATTTACGGGAACAATGCCAATATTTTCAGCGGCTTGTCCTCCCTCGTGGACAGTTTCCGAGAGTGGTGCAAAAGAACGGTTCTTAGGAAAGCAAAATATTAAAAAAAATTGAGTGAAAAGTGGAGATGTGGAAGTATTTCCAGTGTAGAAAAAATAAGTATGTCTCTATTTTCTGGGGTGCTTGGGAAAATAAAAAATTACGTGATAGCTTCATTGTTACTAAGATCAAAGATACAATATTTTATAAAATCGTTGGAGTGTTATGGCATTTCAACCGTGTTATTTCATCTTAAACCCTAATCTAGCCAAATCTAACAAAATTCGACGTGACGTCACAAATTACAAGCTCTCTCAGTGACTCGTAGTGGAAATGCTTGTATGAGTTAAAAGTTCAATAATATTGTGGGCTTTTAACACAACCTGTACAGCTCAGTATTCTGAAATAGCTTGGCTGTGAGTATTATTCTTCCTTGCAACCAAATGGACCCTGAATTTTTAACCTGAATATTTCAGCAGCATTGGAGCTGTCAGCAGTAAATTTCCACTGAGACGGCGGTCACGAGTGCCATGTGCAACCCGTATTGTTTACTTACGTACACACCTCTGACCGTTGAATTCAGCACGTAAGCTCTCCCACGGGTTATTCCATTTTTCTCCCAGGGGCAACTAACCGTGTAATCATTTTCGTCAAACATAAAATTTCTTATCCCGAAATAAACTGCCAACCTGAGCGAAAATGCTGTGGAAATTGTCGGGTTTTTCGGAAACACGGCACACAGTTTCGGAAGAAAAATAGACTGCGCCAGTTTTAAAACATTTTACAATACACCACAGAAGATCGGTTTCCTTTTGGGGTTGGGATTGTAACCTTCTACCATAATACGTGAGCCCAAATTTATGGGGGGGGGTCAGTCGATGATTTCTGACTGAAGTGATTTTTTTTGTTTTAAGTTATGGTGGCTCCTTCCAGTGATGTTTGTTTGCCAGTATTTATGATTATGGACGGCTCAGTGTAAAACAATTGCACGTATTTTCTTTCGATACATAAAATCGATTTTACCACGCCTTAAAGAGGATATGCAACAAATAATACGACAACATAAACAGAGAAGAGTCAGAACGATTCGCCATGGCTCCATACAATTACAGATTGCATGATGGTAACGATACATTCAGAGTGATATTAAATATACCCAGCAAGAAATGAGANCCGAGGGGTACCCCCCATCCCCATAAACATTCCAGACTATTGTTACTTAACACCCCCCCCGATGTCTGAAAGGAATTCCCCAGATTCCTGCGGGACAATGACCAACACAAAGCAGGGGGGGTCTCTCCTCTCATACCTTGCTGCATATGATATTAAATGGTCGGAACAGGACCCTGCACGCGCGTAACACGAGTTTGACAGGAGTGCGACATAGGCTGCCAGACATACACTCCCATTTTCCATTCATCACTGGGTTCAGTGTCGGGGCGATTGTGCAATTAACTGTGTGATGCAGATGCGCACTGCAGGTAGATGTGCAGTAGGTAGCGGGTCCATGGCTCTTGTATTGTTATTCACTGTGCCTCGAGGCGAAAAACTGGGCAAAACTAGGTCCATCTGTGGTATGTTGGAATGCCAGTCATGCTTTATCGTTCAGTTGACTGTTACATCATGGAGTGATTGTCTGTGGTGTCACATAAGCGCTTCTTGTCAATTGTTTAAATCAGTTCAACGAATGGCTCAAGTTGGGTGATTACAAAGTTCAGCTAAGGATCGAATACTGTATTCCTATCCTTGACATGTTTTGTTGCCTTTTGGTGCCTCGAAACCAAGACAAATTACAATAACCAAGTGGAATTTTCGAGCCAATCAAAACCAGTAAACTCCTTTTTTAGTTGCCAAGGTGACGAAATGGTGCTTGAATATGAGAAAAAATATTGTAGGATTAGTTTGGCTAGTAAAGTCTATCCCTTTGTGATGCAAAGCTTCAAGTCTTATCTGGGATTCAACTGATTGGTAATAATGCACTTCGAACGTTATTGTGTCATATTTACCAGAAACATCCGTCCCGAAGTTTCTGCACATCAACGCATGATAGTCTTTCTGTTGTGTTTTGAAAATGCGTTTTGCGTCTGTAGCTAGGTTGAGGTTATGTTGTCCCCATTTTGTTTAGAGGTTCACCTGGCTGCTCAGTTGGGCTTCGTTTAGAGAATTATGCTGAACTTAGTCTGAACGTTTTGTGAGTCAAATCCTCGTGACTCTTATGAGGCTTAAGTTCCCAGGGTTCGCCGAATTTCGGAAGGCTCATCAAAGGCGACCACCGCTAGCAGAGGTACGCAGCCGCTACGCAAGTTTCTATAAATAAATCTCGAACTGCGAGTCGACGGAATGGAATGATATCTGTCACTAAATCGCAGTGACTGTCTTATTAGGTGCATGGACCGACCTACTTAACCCCAGTCACAGTCACGATGGCAACGACAAAAAGGAAGAAAAATATACTCCAGAAGTTTCGATAGAGAGTATTTCCTTGTATTTTACTAATTAAGTCTTACATGTTTAATAAGAACCTGGTTTACATGTGAAAATATTAATGGGAATTATACATGTCATGGATGTTTACAGTTGTGTATATTTTTCACCCTGCAGAAACAAAGTATCATGTATTACAATTAGGCCTTTTTGAAAGCCTACACAGTGTATTCGGTTTGTTTTATGTCAGTTTGTGAAATTCGTTTTGTTACCTTATCTGCAAGACAAGGCCACTTAGTTCTATTTCATGCAGTACGTGGGCCAAATATGTATCATCACATTGTTGTGTCGAGCCACTTTTGTGTGTGTCTTTGTTTTTGGTTTTTTTGTTTTTGTTTTTTTCCATTTCACGAGCGTCGATCGTGCCTTCGCGTCCTGCAGCAAACAGTGCCCCGGGCTTCTTTTCAAGGTTCATTTTGCACGAGTTGGTACAGCGCCATGAGTACAAAAAATTCCCCTTTAACATGTAGATTGCAACACCCTGAACAACTCCCACGCACAAGCGTACACTCGTCATTACGCCGCAATTACGTGCAAAAGGGGGATTCCCCGTTCCCAGGAAGCGACCTTGTATTGTCTGAATGCTGTGGGAAGTGGGAACATGCAACCGCGTACTGTCACGGTGCACCAAATGCCCGTACGAACTAATTTTGACCTTTTTGGGCGTCGGGGTGTTTTTTCCATAGACAAACTCAACGCAAATCAATGGACAAATTCTCAAACAAACTGACTTGGTTCCATCGTTGGGGGCGTCCTATACCATTAATTTAAGCCCATACAAACTACATGTGCATAGCATTTGGTTTTGGTTACCTTGCTCAAAAATAATTAGCATTGATCATGCTTGTTCTGATAAACTGAAGGCGCTGTTGCTGCGATGTTATACCCGGAAAACAGGGTTCATTGAGAAGTTTTCTGCCCAAATTTATCAACCCACCTTTCGCGTTTGGAAAGGGTCCAAGATTTCGTGCATTGTGCACGTGATTGGCCAACGCATGGCACACTACTTAGAAACGCCCGTATCGTCCATATAATGAACTGAGTAAAATCTTTGAAAGCCTTCAATAGAATCAATTTCACATACAAAATCACTTTTATTCATCCACTGACTTTTTTAATTTGACTTCCATTTAAAGGTGTCACTTTTAATTGTTTTCTTATGTTCTTTTCTTATGTTAAGGAATAAAAGGGACCGCGAGAACAATGCGGAGAATTCTTCAGTGCACTACCCTGGTCTTCCTTGTCGGCTCAGTCCTATGCGTTCAGTATCAAGCTGACAGCAATCCGGCTGTGTACACGGCATGGCCCGCCTGTAAGAAAAGGACCGAGTACGTCGTGGTGGTGAAAAACGCAGACAGAGTACCGGGTGAGACCTACCATGAACGCATCAGAAAGAACGGCCGAATTAAGTAAGTCAATAATTAAAGACTGCTAACTCCGGATGGTCACGCCCATGAACGAGACTGGTGATAAGTTCACGTGACATGATACATTGTTCAGTGGGATGACTTGATGCATGCCAGCGCCGGGTACCATCATCCATGACGCAATGAGACACTTCAGAACTTTAAAAAAGCAAGGTCCTTCGACCTGGGAGCAAAGCGGGCTTGCTTGTCCAAGGTCATTCGGCCATTTTTGTCCTGATACCTATGTTTTGGCCGCGTTGCGGATTGGGAAACACCTCGCACGTTCCCTCCGAACGGCCTCGAAAGCGCTTCATTTTGGGCATGGCATGCGCTGTTGAAATAACGAACTGGCTCATTCACTGCACCCTATATAGAGGATTTTCAGGCACGTGATATTAGACGGTCGGTATGCAATTCAGGTTCGCGGAAATGCATGCGTCTTCAAAGTCTCTCAACATTTCGGCGTACATGAAGTTACCGATAGAAATAAACATTCGAGAATGTACGCGCTTCCACGGACACAGTATGCTTCCTGAAATGCCCTTACCTGTCATTATTTTATGTCACATGAAAAACCTCTGTTGATCGGAGCAGGGTGTAACAATGTGATGCTCGTGCACATGTCCACAAGCCAAGAGTTGCGCCATGGCCATCACTGTATAGACAAATCAATGGAACATATTTAGTAGCCATTACCGCAGGGCTGTACGCCCCGTGCCCGTGCGTTAAATTTCCCTCCAACCAATAGAATGTCTTGATTTGCCAAAGTGCGCGCGCGCTTGAAGACATGCGCCTTGGGTGTGATGGCCGTCTCCACTTTCGGGATACGTATGCGGCTCATACTGTGCTCGTGTAGACATGTAGATGTACATTGTCCGTAGGTTTTTGAAATACATAAACCAGCGGTATGACCACCAATTTTCCGGAGACGCAGATGCATTTGACATCTGCACTATCATTTCTAATTGTCCTTTATAGCATTATGTGCATGCTTTGGCACTGAACAGTGACATGTTGAAGAATGATTTGACTTGTTGAGATATACTCATGAGAATAACGAGTGACGTGATAGGGTTATTCTTTTGTACGATGACGGTACCGCGAGGCTCCGACCTGGAGAACTTGGCCGATTAGTGACTGAAAGGAGATGGGCCGTGCCGAAAGTTCGTGGCTGCAGCTTGAAATAACTCGAGTGTATATATCGCAGAGGCTGTAGCCACATCGTTTAAACATGGCTTATCTTTCCTTTGAGGATGAGAAGGCATCAACAGTGCTTGCCACTGAATTTTCATAGAAAGTATTAAAACCATGTAATTTTAACGTCTTTGCGTATATAGTCCCATGGTATATGCCCTGTGAATCTCCCAGGAAAGTAGATTATCTTATCCCTTAATTCGTTAATTTGGCCCCAGTTCCTATGTGTTAAAAGTATGGACGGCATCCTTATAACAAGTTCCTTTGTTTGCCTATACCTCTGCCGACAGATATTACTTCTGCATGCCCTGCATTCGGTGTAACTTCGGGGTTCAGGAGATAAACCCATGCTCTGTCTTCGCTGATACCTCCTGCTCGGCAACAGAGTGCGCAGTGGCAGACTGTGTCCTGGACGAAACCATTCACGCCTGTAGGCTGCCCGGGGATCCCAATAACTTCACAAATCTGTCAGCGATGATGGACCCCTGTGACCCCAGCAAAGTCGTGTCTAAATCGACAGGTCAGACATGCAGAACCATCAGTGAATTAACTTTGTTAATAGTCCTGCCATTTTTGTTTATTTCTGCTGATTTCAACAAAGATGAATTATTAACAAAGAGCAGTGACAATGAAGGACTGATGGTACTGAGAACTGTCATGTATCTTTTTTTTTAATCGACGACACTTGACAATTATTATCGCACAATAACTCGAAAGCTGGTGCGCGACTCTGTTTCACCAATCGCCATAAGGTGTCCTCTGTAAACAGTCTTAACTTCATGGAACTTTCAATTGCCTTCTTGCATTCCACAGAGGGCTCCCTGAACGAACCGGCCAAAGTCGAATGGATTACCACCTCGTCGTGGTCCAGAGAAGGTACAGTAAAGACAACAGGCATCCCCCCAAACAACCTTGGCTCTGAGCCCAACATTAACCCTGTAAAACCGGCGGCAGACAAGCCCAAGAGTGGATGGAAAACACGAGATACCATTCTGGTCATTGTTGTGACCGTCATAGTGGTCATTTTTGCCACTTTGCCCGCCGTCTACTACTGGAGACCCAGAAAGATTCGTCAGAGTTGGTCGAAGGTTGATCACAGCTCAAATGAGGGACGTCCACGCACATTGGAGACTTCAGTATAGACTAATCCTATAAGACGCCGTAACTGCGGTGGCACCGCACTCAGGCGCACATTCTTCTGCTTGACGTGCGCGTGCTTTTGGAAAATCGCGACACCCTATGGGGTGCGTTCGATTAGCTTCCCTGAACACACCGGTGTTACACTCAAGGGAAGCCTCAAAATGAGGCTTATCGAACGCTGCAGTGTGTTTTCCAAGGCATTCTGGGAAAAAGGTCAAGTCCCCGCCACGTTCCGTCATATACGTCCATGCTCGAACAGTCCATCCGTGACGTCATTACACTCGGGCAGCCTCCAGAGACCCGCTTGCCCGTTTGGGTAGTGGTGGCTGACACCAGGGCAGGCACGAACATCACGTGATGGCTAAACGAACGCTCTCGTGTAGGTTTGACTTACACGTGTAAGCTAATCGAACGCACTCATTGGTCGAAGAGGCATGTAAGGCGCGCGTACCACCTGTCCATGAGCGTTGTGCCACCACAGTAATGGCCAAAGATCGTATAGCGCCGCGTAGCGGCGCAAGATGGAGAACTTCACCGCGAATACACGTAAATTGTTGTAATCGCATAGGCGCCATTTGAGCAAGCGATACGCTTGCGCAATGCACATTACTGCATAGGCGCAGGCGCTGCGACAGGCACGTGCACCTGGTGAGCCTGCGCCAAAGCATTACCGTAAAACACGCAGGTGTATCGCTTGCTCGAATGGCGCCCATGGTAATTACACCTTTTGGGCAGAGTTGTCCATCTTGCGCCTTCGGCGCTATACGATAATTGGTAATGGCTTCTAATTGTGGTTGTCGAATGGACCGATCCATTACGCCCCGCCCAGTTGTGTTCTGACCAATCACAGCAGTGATTTGTGTCAGACATGCGTGCACAAAATCCGACATGCCCGCGCGCGTGTATGATGCGCGCGACTGGAGGAAGCAGCGTGGAATTGGAGAAGAGGACGTTCTAAGTGCCAACGTGCGCAGGGGGTGGGGCTTAATTGATCGGTCTATTACACTGATAGTTATCAGAAGATTTATCACTTTGGTACTCTATAGTGTAATCATAGATATCAGAGGAAAAAGTATTCATCTGATATCCCATGGGTACCTTATCTGCCCAGAGTTGAAGTGCACCCTCACCGGCGAAAAAAAGACAGATGATACTAAGTTTTCCCACCGGGTTCTTGCACGCGTTCGGCGTGCGCGTGAAGCCTACAGAGTACCGAAGTGATTTTAATGTACGCACAGTTATGTGTAGGTTAGTTATGTGTTGGATATTCTATCCGGTTCGTAAGTGACGATTTGCAGGCTCCCATTGGACGATCGCTGAACTTGCGCGTTAACCTCCGATTCCATGGTTCCATGTAAACGGGGATGAATGCATGTAACTCTATGTGCAGTGCATGTGCAGTGGGCGTGGTTTGATCTTCAGTGACGTCACACTTGTGAACTGGATACATTCCAGACTAGCTTCCTTGCGAGTACTCGACGTGCTCCGCGTCAAACGCGCACAAACTTGCGCGTCTATGCGGTGAATGTGTAATACTTAGAAAACTGGGATGAATTCTTTTCTATTTAAACAGGAATAGGAACATTCTGTGGTATGGAAAAGAATTGATGCTAATTTTACAAAAATGCCCATTGTCTCTGGCTGTATGACCCATCTCTCTACTTTTTGCAGATGTTCAAAAATCAAAATCTCAAGAATTTTTCCTTGTGCTCGTGCAAAACTTCAACTAGGAGGTGGTGTGTGATCCAGTTCCGAGAACGGTGTTCTTGAGGTAAAGTTCCCGCCGTTCGAACTTTCCAAAACAAGAAACCCGTGTCAAGAACAAGCGCCCGAAATTGACCATTATAAAGAACAAAATCAAACCCGTACGAGGGACTCACAGTAGTGCGCCACCAATAGTTTGCAACTCGTTGACAATTACAACTCGCGAATACGGGCGATTCACAATAGTGCGCCACCTAGAGTTTGCAACGCGTTGGCCAATCATAATGCGCAAAATTTGTCGACCCTTTCCAAACGCGCATTGGGTCGACAAATTTCGCGCATTATGATTGGCAACGCGTTGCAAACTCTTGGTGGCGCACTATTGTGAAACGGCTGTATTCAATGCGCTTTTAGAAAGGCATTGTGATTGGTGGCCAGCTATTGTGAAACGCCTGTATAATCTTTTTGGCGTTAAGGTTGATGTTTGAAGAATCTCGTGATGTGGGAAATGCATCCGCGAGAATGATTCGGGTCCCACTGTGCTTTTGTTTCTTATGTGTTTTGTATGTTCGTTTGCACGGTAACGTTGCTTTTGTACATAGGTGGTTTAAATTGATGTCGGTTTTGTATATCTTCCATCCAATGCTCATGCAATGCAATGCAGTTTGTACATAATGACTATTTTTCTTCAAAAACCTCTTTTTTAAAATTAATCTATTCTTGTTACTAATTCAAATAATTTATTAAGTTATGATTCAAGCAATGTTTCCATTTTCAAATAATTGAATTTCTACGTTATTCTGTATCGTTAAACAATAATACGATCTGCTGCCCCCTGTTTCCAAGTCAAAGAAACTCACGAATGGTACAGCACCAAGACAGTAAATGCGTTTTCAACACGACATTGGAAGATGGACTTTATAACTGGATAGATTAGGACGTACGTGTACGGTTGCCGCGGACCAAACGCATGGGTGTTTTATAAAGTGACGCGCCTTCCCACCTGACCAAAGACACTGGTATGTGTGTGAATACGAGGTTGAACTATTCGGGATGCAATATTAAACATTGGATGAAACTGGCCCTGTACGGGGTCAATTAGGTAAGGGCTTAGGTCACGGTGGTTTGTATGACTTTCAAGCTTGAAAGTCCAACAAGGAGACATTAATTTTTCCAGTACATGTATTTCCAAGAGAGTCAAAACAAAACGAAAAAAGTCATACCGGGGACCCGATTTCGAAAAGTGTGAAAATGATTACTTGCTCTCATTTCTTTTCATGCGAGGGCATTGAGAGACGAATCTAAGAAGAAGAGCGGTGTTCTCTTCTCAAAGGATCGGAAGGAAACTGCATCTTCTTCTGGATGAAGACCTTCACAAATTCGGGCGATTCACAATAGTGCGCCTCCAAGAGTTTGCAACGCGTTGGCCAATCACGACGCACGAAATTTGTTGACCCTTTCCAAACGCGTACTTGGTCGACAGATTCGCGCTCGGTGATTGGTCAATATTATGAAACGTCCGTATTATCATTAATTTAAAAAGATGACATCATCTAATCCAATGGGTTATCAATTGTACTTGATAACAAAGCAATGCATTTTTACATGCCTCGGCCTGCTTGCAACAATCTCAGGGGCCTGAACCCCCCCACCGGAAAATTTCTAGATCCGCCTCTGGTCAGCCAAAGAGCATATACCGCCGGATTGGGCGTTTTGCGGGTATAATGTACATGTATATGTATGTATATATATACTGCGAGAAAATATATTACGGCGTTGTATATTTAACGAACAGTAAACAGATTTTCAGCGATCTGAACTCCAAAGGAGTAAAACAAAAAAAACCACTCTAAAATAGTGAATTATCACTTTGATATGCATCCCTCCTTAGTAAACTTCACCCTTTTAGAGTGGTTTTCACTCCATGGTGTTGTTTATGACTCGCCGTTTTGCCTTGAAAAGAGTAACCCTTTTGGATCAGGGCTTATTTATTATACGATAATAATATATTTCGCTGGTGTATTTATGCAAAAGGATGAGGAGAATGTTAGCCAATGTGAGCCTGACAAGATTGGATTTGAAGGTTTGCAATTTGCCTACCGACAGTAGCAGTCGTAGGCCTACTGAATGGATAGTGGAAAGGGGAAGTTTGTGGTGGAACCCTGGACATAAGAGGTCCTGAAAAGAACGCGGACTTCAGTACACTGTGCAAAACATCGATCGTGCCAAACTTTTTCAATCCTGAAACCCATCAACTTACGAAAGAACGCTTGTTGTCACACGGCGAAGCCACCAACTTCCTGTTTGAGTAACTTATATGAGGTTATATATTGCATGCAGCAACCTGGACGGAAGAGGCTAAAAAAATGTGCTTTCCTGTTTAATATTATTTTTATAAACGCACTTTGCCTACGAGCTTGCTTCGTATTCCTTGCTATGTTAAAAGTGCTGCTTAAAATTCAATAAATTTGGAATTTGTTGCCTGTTAAAACCAATGAATTCCAATTTAATGTGATAATTAAATGCTTAACTTAATTTCAAAAGTACACTAAAATCCCAGTTTCCTTTTTTGGGAGGAGGGGTAATCGTGGCACGGATGAAGGAGGCGGTGTAATTATCTTATTTCACATTGAAACTGATCAGTGTGAAAATTTCTAGATATTCACAGAGGACGGGAAACTCATGTTTAGTCGATAGCTTTTCAAAACTTGGAACTAAGAAATGAGTTGGCATCGTCCAAATTAAACACTGGGTCTCATGCAATAGTCGAGGGGATATAAGGGCCCTTTTCCAATACCCAACTTCGTCTCCGTCTCAGGCTTCGTTCTTGAAACCAATCCCCGATTGTAGGACCTGACGCGTTTAAATTAAATTGGATTACTGTAATTTCTGGCTCTCTTGCATCTTATTTGATGTTTTGTGGCACTATTACACTAATTACTGCGCTTACAGCTTCAACGTCATCTCGTAAAAAAAAAACAGTTGAAGCCTGAGCGGTGCCGAAGTTGAGTATTGGAAAACGGCCAAGGAGAGTGCGGAAATGAACACTGCCACCATGCGAAACAGGAAAGAAAAGTTCACTCCATGAATACGACAGTTATTAGTTTAAGGTCATAAAGGTTGCAAGCTAGTGAATAGGTCCAAAATTGCCTGCGCGGACCAAATCACGATTTGTAGGCCGTCAAAAAAAATCACGAACCACAGCAAGCCCCTCGTAACTCAGGGGAGTATATCTGTGTTGGAAATTTGGGAGGGGGTGACTTGCCCGGCCATGGAAATATGAAAAGCGGGGCTGGGGGGCACCATTTACATTATAGAGGGGCAATTTTTATGATAAAGATGCATATCGGTAATACGTGTTCATGCACAATCTTACATCACAATGGCATATTAATGGCCTTTTAAAATTGCTTTCCCTTATTAGTGGTATTGTAAACATTTTAGTCTTTAGGAAATCCTCTAGATTAGTCCAAATCCTCTGAAAGTTTTGGGTTACCCTTTTATTTTTTTGGGGGGTGGGGGGGGGAGGTGATTCAATAGCCCATCCACCATCTCCCAAACTTGAACTGTGTAGTGTCACATTGAGCAAAAGTTCAGTCCTAAGCCAGTCTGGGGGCGCTGAGTTATGAGATCATCCTGTTGAGTATTGATGCCTGTACCTATATGTTCCGAGTTTCGTCAATCTGAGTTGTCATGTGGTTACAACATCTGTCACAGTGACCAAGATTTCGTTGTTGTCACAGTCTGCTCTCACTTGGAACCAGCAGCTGCAATGAAAAGACGACATATCCGAATGGTGCACTAACAGTTCGGAATGAGTCGGACATTTCCGGGAGGCGAATCCGTGGCAATTGTATCACAGTTGCTATGGCTACCGTTCAGAATCGAGTTGTCGTGGTGGGCGGAGCCAGCAATGCACCGACACTGTAAATTCGTGGAAGCGTGTACTTAAACCAGACATCACGTGGTTTTACCCTCCGAAAAGTGAATAAATGCACGGAGCTCGGTAAACGAAATTTGCATGCGCATGCGCCGCGCCGATCAATGCTCTGTTATAAGCAAAGTCTGCCGTTTTCCACGAAGCAGTACAACATTTGACGCTCAGCAAACACGCAATAACTGTAAGATAACATGAGAAAAGTCTCACACTAATCGACGTGGCACCAATTGGCCCGGGCCTTGAAGAATTTAAAGTGTTCTGCTCTTTTTCAAGTCGAATTTAAGTTCGATTAAGTGCGATCAACGCATTATCAGACACAAAGAAAGGTAAGCCCACGCGTTTCTGGGTTCTGTTTGCCTGATCAAAAGTAAACATTTTGTTTTCTTTTTTATTTCTCCAAAATCTTTAAATGCATCTTTTCGCTTGTGCTGTGGACTTACTTGAAGGTTACAGTCGAAATATGTTTAATAAGCTTGATATATAGCACGATTGTGAAATCTCTCAACAAGTTTGGCCAGTTGTTTTCTCATGGTTTCGAAATCGCAACCTCAGATGGGTTAAACGACAGTTTAAATTCCGAAAGAATTGTGTTCCCCTCACGAACCAGCCGCCGCAGGGTTTAATTTGGCACCATGTTTGCAGTGTCGCATTTTTCCATCATAATTGTTCCTTGAACCCTTTGGCGCGAAGTGCAAACATGAATGGAAGGTGAAAGGTCATCATCGGCCGATTCCATTTTTCCGTTAAGGTGGCGTCTAAGGTACCGAATCAGATAAGAATCCAATAACTGCCAGCATTTCTATTTATTGTCTCAACATTCTCTCCGCCTTGGAAAAGCTGTACAAATTGTCATCTTTTGTAGGCTACTGAAGAAGGTTCAGAAGTAAAACAGAATTTGCAAGTTAAAATATTACTTGCGCGCTCCACTGCTTGTGACGATGCATGTATGCGCATGACGGTATTATTCTGACTGAAGTGCGCATGGCGCAGCAGTTATTTCATTCACAAATACGCCGGGCGATATTGGACCCATTGCACTCTCTGCACATGTACACGCATGTGGTAAGAAAATGTTCAGATCTCTCCGTAGCCGATAGAGGTACAAAAACTGTAAAGCTGGTGTCCTCGAAAAGTGGCAAGTTGGCTCTATATGCGTAGTGTACTGTCTCAGTCGAAGGGAACAATTTGAAAAGGACATTATCCAAATCGTGAAACTATTCAGGCAGGGGTAAAAGATCGTGATTTAAAAAAGTCAGCCCACACGTTCGAAAACGGTTATCACAACGTGGTGCTTTGAGGCCAAATTAAAATGCCATATATGGAGAAGATCTTCAGTGTTTCTTGTTGAATATTTCAGTGAATTAACCTTCGACTGTGTCCATTATTTACGTGCATGGGGCATATATATAGAGAGAGAGACCACCATAGCACTGCGATTTGCAGTGTTTGATTGCGTCATATCATGACACTTGGCACAATTCCATGTCGAAAACGGCGGCGACTGCGCATGACAAACTCCCAGCAACATAACAAGTGTTTCATGCTCCATTCATTTTTGCAACTAACTGCCCGGCAATTTTACTACGACAGTATACTGCGCCACATCACACCGGACCGTTGATGCAGTTGTAAATCCCTCCAACTGGAAGCCTTGGGAAGATGCCTTGTGAGACGAGAACGCTTTAAACAGTAAAGAAACACTCCTGAACAACGCATAGCCGTGATCTCTGACTGTAAAAATTTGTGCTACTTTTTAAGGTTGACACCTGTGCCCTGCATTCCCACAGACAGTTGGAACACGTGGATTAGTAAGGTCGCCGCCTTCTTGAATTTCGGTAAGTCTTGTGCATTCAGTTCCCCTCGATAATGTTAGCCTATTATATCAATGTTTGTGTTGTTCGTCTTCATTGATTGCTGTTGTTTTGCTGGTTCTGTTTCAGCAAATTTCTTTTTTGTCTGTCTGTCAGCAAAAACTGTAGGCAGTTTAATTTTGTTAGATGATTTTCGAGGCTCTCTTTCTATCGGCACTGATTATCGAGTTGGAGACTTGCATTTGAGACTGCTTGCGGCTCGATAATCACATTCTTCGGATTACCCTAAGTCGAAATGATAATAGTTTCATGCTGTTGGTCTAGCTAATTGAATTCAACATGACAAATTTGATACCCATGCGAAGGTGTGATCATTTTCTCCATTGCAACATAATCTCAGTTACAATCAGCAGATTTTACAGAGTGACCGAGAGTATACATTTGACGGAGAGTGTAAACAGTATTCCATGCCAATATAATACAGCAAAGGTTCCATCCATATTTTGCATTGAGGAAAATCTTCAATACGTGTACATTATGCTATTGGGAATCTATATTTACATATTTAAATACCAGTTAGATTGGGCAATGTGGCTAGACACCGCGACGGTAGGCACGTGCTTCTGTTATTGTTTACATTGCCAGTTGACTGCGCTGGCGCTATGAGCATAGTGAACGGCAGGCTGTTCTGGAAAGTTCTCACAGGTGGGTTCACTGCCCGTGGGCGGGTTCCTGCTGTCACGTCGCAGGGATAGTATTTTAGGAACTTGAAAAATGGAGGAAATTTGAATTCCGTTTGTCAATTCTCTCATGCCGGCGATTAATATTTTTTTATTAGTGCTTGGTTTAGGCAATTTTCCAGGCAAATGCGCGGAAATCTAAGGAGGAAGAACAGGAAGAAATGCTTTGTGTTTATAGACTTTATTTCTTTATTAACTGGAAGAGTCGGAGGAGATTGAATGTAGTAAATAACATGCAAAACTGAAAAGTTGATCATGGTGGGACAATGTTGGTTTTACTTGATTTTCCACACAATTTAAACTCGAAGTTGGCCTTTTGATGGACAGGGATCGAACCAATATTTTTTGCAATAAAACTATAACATGTTGTCTTCATAGCTTAAAGTTTTGCAACCTTGTTTCTTAGCTATCTCACCTCCCCTGGAACTTGTAATTTTCGGTCGAACATCCAATTAATAATATGGCACCGCCTTTCCAAACGTTTAATTCAAATTTGTGTAAAAAGTCAAATCTCAGATCTTACCCATATCCCTCTCTCTTTGTAATGGAAAATTTTAGTGGACTTTAAGTCCACCCAAAGTTTCAAGTGCCGTCATTTTGTATAGGTTTGCTGACACTGTGATTTGATTAGGGTATGCGCCTGTTGTCATGGCACTGTAGTGTTTGCACTCATCAGTACTAGTGTTTACATTTCGCGGGTCTTTTTTTGGATTTCTGTCTGGTAAAACACAGATATCCGTCCAAATCAGTCTCGGTCAATGGAAGTCGTCGTGAGATAAGTTGAACATTAAATTCCTGCACCCAAATTCACTAATATTTCGTGATCCACAGGTAATTTGCAAGAGGTGTCGGACCGATCATAGAGACATTTCTATATAACTCGTAAATTTTGGACTGGCGGGTTCCAATTGGGATGTATTTTGTTCACAAAACCCTCCAATTGCTCAAGGCCTGTTTTGCCAAGAGGCGCAGAGTTTAATTTTGGTGGTGTTTGGGGGGAAGGGTGGATTTTTTTTCATGGCTAACCTTCATGACTAGGAAGGAAATTGTAGTCTTCAATTTCTATGGAAACACGCGATGCCACAATCTTCTTGAACCTCACTAGGCGGCGCTGTTTCTCACCGAGTTTGGCGTTGTTTTCTACGGGCGATTGTTAAGCGTTCTGGAGCCATCATTATCTTCTACCCCAAGACACTTTCTGTGCTTGAAAAGAAAAAAATCCAGCATTACCAGAGAAATGTATACGGAGAGCCCCAAGGCCCTGGTGTATCATAGCTTTGGGGACTTGGTTGAAGTGCAGGCTGAAGTAAATCTGAAATAAATATTTTCAACCTTTTGTTTACCTGGGTTTCTCGTGATCGTGACTCAGACATGTCACGTGGCGTACTCCCTGCCAAATTTCGTTGAAGCGCAGCGATAAAAGAGTGCACAGTCGACCTGCGCTGTACGTTGAGCATGGCTGCTCTGCCGTATGGTCACGCATTCATCGCTGTTGCTAAACACAAAGCGCCAATTTTGTGAAAAGCGCTTGTTTAAGTGGCTCTGCTGCGTTGTGTAATGTTGCCAGAAATAGGGCACACAGTCGATCTTGACCGACCGACCGTCCATAAAATGCCTCTTCTTCTAAAATTGAAAAATCTAACAATTGATTTTACATTTCGAATTCCTTGTTTCAAGATGATGACGGATCTGTCAAATAAAAGTAAATTTCCTTTGTTTGAAAACTAACTTATCGTTACCTCCTCGTTACATTAAAAATTAGCAATATTTCAACATGCATTATTTTATTCTATATGAAAGTAAATTTCCTAAAATAATATTGCCGAATTAGTAGCCCCGTCAATGAGGGCATAGGTTACCGGACGTGTCCATGACTTAGATCGTCGATAATAGCATAAGAACGCTGGAAAGATCTGAAGAAAAATGCATCTTTCGAATATTTTTGCCGCTCAGCCTTCGTTCCTGCACGTAGGTCAGATCATCACCAACAATGGCCGAGGCAAGGCGCGCCTGGCGCGGCGAAGCATGATGAAAGGAAATTTTAGAACACGCGCCCTACATACTTAATTCTGCACTGTAGCGGTGTGCGATAGCGCTGGGTGGCAGCGGGGAATCCCCGTACCTCAGAGTTCGCTATTGCGCAATAAGTGTCCATATCTACAGTGTACATACACGAACAGTACATGTACAAATACTTTACTAGTCTTGGTTTCAAGACGTTAGTGCTTCATAGTGGACACCCTGCGTAGTGCGCCCCTAACGACTCATAATTAGACAGTGCGCCAGCTCGCACATGTGCGAGGGCGCTCTTCAACAGAAATAAAACAACTATCGATCACTAACGTCTTGGGCCAAGACTAATACTGTACATGTACATGTACATGTACTTGCCCCAGTATTACTCCACGCAAGGCCAAGGCATCCAGAGCTTCAAAAGCCGCTTGATACGGAAGTTAATGTGTGCCGGCACAAAAATGTCAAAAGAAACACACGGGGCATAATCTGTGACGAAACTAGACCCCCTTTCGTCAGTTTTCTTTGGTATTGTGTTTAGGAATCTTTGGAATTCCGATCAGCGTGGATCGCGGTTTTAGGTTCCCGTATGCTTTAGCCGGCAGCTGGATGCAGATGGTTCACTAGGTTTGAAAGGCACATGTACATGTAAACAAAAGCGACCTTTGATCAATGTCTGGTGTAATGTAAAGATTCACACATGCGCCTGGAATCTATCCAGCAAAACCAGTAAATGGCAGAAAGGCAGAAATCCAAACACTCCTGGAATTTCAATGCAAAACGAAGCTGCTTTCACAGCATGCTATGGGGGAAACGGAAGCCCATAGTTTAAACATCACGTGGGCTCTCTTTGCCACATATGCTAGGTAATAAAGGATTTGACCTAAACAGCTCGAGTTTTAGCCAAACCGTGAAAGGTCAAATAGTTATGCTTCTGTTTTATTGACTTTTTTCATTAAAAAAAATTCCATGATGCACCTGGTGTCTCACTTTGCCTTGTTAAGTTTTGTTTCAGTATTTTAAGTGGTACTTTGTTGCCTTTTTGGTTTTTCATGTTCACAGTATGTCCATATACATGTGCAACCCCATGGTGTCATCTCGGCAGAAAACCCCTCACCATGATGCATGCATGTTCAAAAAACTCATATGTTATTTTCAGATTTTGAATGACTACAATTTTTCTTTTCTTAATTTTCACTGTTGAGTAAATTTATAGTCAGGCATCAAATGTGAAATGATTTCAGTTAGTGAAGTTCGCAATTTTGAACGATAAACCTGAACCATGTCTCCTGGCCCCTGGACGACATCACTGCAACAGCGCCCTCGGTCATCCTGGAAAGCTCGGATAATTTTGCAATGCTCTAATTCAAAAGTACACCTTTAAATGCAGCAACGCATCTTTGTCAAATATTTTTGCACAACAGATTATGCTCGTACCTGTATGATTCTACCCTTCGTTGCTTAGTTCGTGGCTTAAATGAATGTTGTTGCAGCGATTTCTGTTCGCCCAGCGGCCATTAAACATCAAGATTACATCTTTTCAAACCTTACGTCAGCTTACAATGCGCCTTTCATGACATAGCTTGGTTACTCATTCCAGGAAAAAAGAGGCAAACAACCATGCGGCCCTATCTACCGCTGATTGCCATTGCGATCTGCATATTGGGCATGGTCTTGAGCGTTCAGGCGGGAAGTGGCAGCAGGCCGGCCGTTTACAAAAACTGGCCCGAGTGCACGAGGGATACTGAGTTCGTGTTGGTCGTGAAGAAGTCGGAACGCGAGGCTGGAGTGAGGTACCACGAGCGCCATGTGACCAGAAAGAAAGGCCGAACCGTAAAGTGAGTAGACAAGATTTTTTATACGCACGAGCAACCCTCCAAGAATGGTGTGTGTGTGTGGGGGGGGTCAACTTACTCATTATTATTCATAGCAGACATGCGTGAGCGCGTTACGCGCCTGAGATGAAAGCAGCCCTGGAGAATGTGACCAGTCAGTGTAGATTATAATGTGACGTCACTTCCGTTTGAACCCACGCACACAGCACGCAGAGCTGCCGTGTTTTAATGCTCAGCTTCATGGTTCGTTTTCAGTTCAATTTAAAATCTTTGGCTTGGACCAAATAAATTCCTAATCGACATGTCATGAACAGGGATAAACATGAATCAGTCATGTAGACAGCGATCAACTGAAAATATGATGTGTCTTAATTAAATTTGGTAAATCACAATTTCGCAGAGAGTTGTCTGTGTAATCATGGAGGTAGGCGTGTCAGGCTCAGAGCATAAGAAACTGCTGCGCGGTCGCAACCAGTCGCATACATTTGAGTCATTTTCAATTGGCTGTCTGTTCTTTCTAGGTACTACGAGTGCATGCCCTGCACGAGGTGCGCTCCAGGTGTTCACGAGGAGAAGCCCTGCTCGGTGCACGCTGATACGGCCTGCTCGGCCACAGAGTGCACCGTGTCTGGCTGCATCTTGGACGCAAACCTCCACGCCTGCCGGCTGCCCGGAGACCCCAATGACTTCTCTGATATGTCGGCCATGATGGATCCTTGCGACCCGACTAAGATCAAGTCCACAACGACAGGTCAGACATATAGAACTCGTGGTTTCGAAACTTTTGTTGAAACAGGATAGTTTTGAAACTTGAATGATAAATTATCTTTCAGATATCTTTGTTTCTTATTATTTTGTCATTCATTCATTCCTACATACTTCCTACCTTGTGCTCCGTGCGGATTCGAAAGTTTCATTTGCGGTAAAAAATTTTTTAAAAGCAGACAAGACAGTTGAGTTTTGTCCATTTCAGACAGAACTTGAATTTAACTGCAGCAGAAGCGGGAATCCATTCCCGAAGATTTCAAATTGAGCAAATGTTTCCTGTTTTCCTGTTATGCAGTGGAACCCAGCAGCAGATCACCTCGGCCTGGTGTGAAACAGCTGGTGAAGAAAGACTCCAATACCTCCCTGTCCAAAGGAGACCAACGAGACGCTCCCCCGGATGAGCGCGCCGAGTCACCCGCACCCTTAATGGATGGACCAACGGTAGGGAAAATCGGGATAATACTGGCCGTTTCGATCGTATGTGTCGTTCTCGTAACAGCGATAGCAGTAACTGCTGTCGTGTACGCATCTAAGAGGAGAAATGGGTGTAGTTGTAATAGCCCCAGAGGGCGATCAGGAACTCCCGTCTAGGAATGAGATTGAGTTCAAGATTACCATACACTGTCGTTGTGACAGTGGTTTGATTAGGGCATCTTTCAATTGGGAAATTTTTGAGACGCTTGGTGGCCCGGCCGGGAGTCGTTTTAAACGTGCTCACACTGGCTCCATCGGACCACTCATGTGCGCGGGACCGGTTTTCTAGCATCAAGCGTCTCCCAAGTCTCCCAATGGTTTCCTGATTATGCCGCACTGATTTCCGCATTCCCTAACAAAATTCGAAAATAAAATAAACAAATAATGGGGGAGGGGCCAGACAGGGGTGCAGAATGGACAGGGTGTAGTTACTTTTCACAATTATTTCATTTCATGGATCTACTTTGGGGAAAGTATCGTGATTAATTGAGTTGTGCTTTTTTTTGCTTTGAGATAATTGGCTCTTTTGGGGGCCAAAATTTCATGATCTAGAAAATAACCCTTTCGCTCTGCATTTTGATAAAGGACGGGATTTAGCTGTCATCTTTGTCGCAGATGTCCACACGAGACGACCGATTTGCCTATGAATTGAGCGATGTTTAAATACTTTGAAAAAGAAATTGTAAATATTGTTCACTTTGTATTATGCAGATCGGCCTCTATACTTATTGCATAAAGTTCATTTGTTCTACTGTTATTTTGTATAAATGCATTATACATACGGTATACAGAGCCAGCATTTTGTTTGCACTGGGTAACGAACAGAGCATGAAATTTACCAGGGTTGGAGCACAGGAAAAATTGGGAAAAAGTGTTCCTTTTTCATACAACTAGGCCTAGCTGGTGCTGGATAAAGGACAAAAAGATATGACAAAAAACCTATTCGTGCATTTCACATTTTCTGCTCTGTGGAGCCGGAGAAAGTAGTGCATAGGGCATTAATACGGCCGTTTCACAGAAGCGCGCCTCCAAGAGTTTGCAACGCGTTGGCCAATCACAGTGCGCGAAATCTGCCGACCCAATGCGCGTTTGGAAATGGTTGACAAATTTCGCGCATTCTGGTTAGCCAACGCGTTGCAAACTCTTGGAGGCGCGCTATTGTCAATCGTCCGTATTATACATGCGTGTACAAGCACTCGAAAACACGGTGTCCAAACTTAGGCCAGATTTTGTGTCCAATTTACAAAGCCTGCTGGCTTTTATAACACAAGTTTGGAAAATGTGAAAGAAAGGAAAAATCTGGATTTTGCCGACACAGGTTGTGAAGATTCGTTTGTATTATAGCTAGAGGAAAGCGCTTATTATATTTATATTTGCATGTATATATTTGCCTTTCAATGCAATGTTTATAAATTATTGCACGATCTGTGTGTGAAACATCTTATTATAATGCCAATGCTGAGAAGCTAGTATTTATATCAAGGATCAAACAATGTATATCGTTGATTCTAAATTTGATATTTGATAAAGCTATATGAAGATAAACCTATGTAGCAGAATCCGAAACAGGACAAATATGGACGGCTGAAGTAAAGGCTAGATTTGAAATGTAGGCTTCAATGTAGACTAGACTGGACGTGATAGCCTTTTTACGTGGATAATTGTTCTGTACAATCAAGTTGAAGGTGTCATCCATTGTTTTAATCAGCAGTTTCAATTGTGTGTTCAAAACACATGGTCATGGTTGGGAGCGGTGGTAGCAAGTGATCAATTTTTGCCAAGTCCAGAGTCAACTCATAACTCACGAATCACAAAACTCCGACTCGAGTTCGATTCGAGTCCGAGTCAAGTGAGTAGAGTCTGATGGTCGGGGTTCTCGATGCACTTTTCAGGAAATTTGAAAGGGGTATATAGTGTAATTCGACAACCAGGATTAGAAGCCATTACTGCGGTGGCACAACGCTCGTGGACAGGTGGTACGCGCGCGTTGCATTCCTCCTCAACCAATAGGGTGTCGCGATTTGCCAAATGCACGCGCGCGTCAAGCTGAGGAATGTGCGTGTGAGTGCGGTGCCACCGCAGTTATGGCGTCTAATAGGATTAGTCTATACCCTTGCGTCCGCGTTGGAGGAGGGGGCGGGCTGCAGAAAACGAGTATTGTGCACACTCGTGAACATTTTGACAGTGCAGACACCCCGGTGATGTACAGGACCTCACATCTAGTGGGTCGTTTTTGGGTGATTGTCTTGAACTGCGCATCAACCAAAGAGAATCAATTCTGTGTTGGGATCCACATACATGTTTCATCTTTAATACAAGAATGTGATAATTTTTTTTATTGACCAGTAAAAAGGGTTTTCTGTGACATATGGGTATTACGTAATATTGGGTATCAGGGATTATTTATTTAACGGTTCGCTGTATTCTTACAAATAGGTCACTTGGGAGACATTTTGTGGTAAATTTTTCAACCGAAGGGAGACATTTGCATGCTCCAGCTACCAGAAGAAGACCTAATTTTACCGTCCAGATTTTGAGGGATGATAGATTGGGGTCAAATTGAAAACATACAAAGTTTGGTTCAGATCAGATCAGGGAATATTGATTTATGGGACGGTAAATTTTGTGCACGTTCCAATGAGAATGTCTCCCAAGTGACCCATTTTCGGTAAACAGTGTAACTTTCCAAAATGAGTTAGAAGAAAAGTTAAGGCGCCTAATTGAAGGTTTGGCCTGTGGATTCAGGCCAGAGTTTGTGGTTGCACCATGGGCAAAATTTGAGGTTCTGAGAAGAAAACGGGCAAACGTGTCACACTGCGGCCCGAATCCTTGACGGCGCCGATACTCTTTACTTCAGAATATTTTCAACTTACAGAGGAATTTGTGTCACATGGCCCAACTGCAAACTTATTCCTATCAGGCTTATTGCAAACGGGAAGGAAGAGGCTACCGAGAAAAACGTTTTATATTGCTATTTGTATATTTGCAATACTTTTGCTCACGCGTTTTGTATTTATTGCCAGTGTAACAAAATTGCACATAAAATGTACATGGTGCTTATATACTACGTTGACACAAAAAAATGATTAATTAAAAAATGATTCGCTGGATTTCGCTCCAGGCACGGAAGTAACATGCGATGTAGTTATTTCATACCAGTGTCCATGCGTGTCCACACTGAAGTAACGCATGTCAATGCACAACAGACAATGTAGCGACAGCTCCCCCAAAACACCCAGAAAGGGAAAGAGTTCCGACATGAAGGAGAGTGTTCCCTTTTTAACCAGGGGCATATAGTGACGGGGGGTGCGGCACCCCCTCCCATCATTAATTCCAGAAGGCAAATATTCAGCAAAGGAAACATAAACATGATAAACGATAAACGCTGGCCGTCAACATTTCCCCTGAAGCATGACATGTGGCATACCACATGAAATTTCCACTTTACACGACACGAGGTTGACAGTTACAAGTCGGCAATTCGACTCAAGCACAAAGAAAGAATCGCCCCATTGGTCTCATTCTACAATCTGGACATGAAGACATAAAGAAATGGACCACATCATTCGGTGGCGTAGCCGGGGGGGGGCATGGGGTACGCCCCCACAAATTCCCAGTGGCCCCCCCCCCAAGTATGAATGGATATTGAACAAGGCTAATAGAAGGCTGCATGCGAATCTGTTGTCTAGAGCTGGGTCTAGTCTTCGCTTCATTAGAAATGCATGGAGACGTATAGACAATAGACCTAGGCGTAGCTCTGGAAGCCCGTTTCGGGCATGGCCAAAGCTTTCCCCCCAAAGTACCACATCACTGAAAGCTGGTGCCCCCAAGATGCTGGTGCTCCTTGGGACCCCCCCCGTAAAATCCTCGCTTCGCCACTGCTCTTATTATATGGATCATTCCGTTTAACACTAGTTTAAGTAATTATTTGAATTACTAAATCACACTTGGAAATTAATCTTTTCTTTGGAATTAATCTGTGGAATCTTTTCTAGAGTTAAAAAATCATACGCCAGAAAAAAGGGGCCATTCCTTCCTTCATGCGTGGGCCGGAAAAGAAAATGGACCCCCAAATTTATATTAGAATGACCCATATGCCACATGTTTTGTACGCAGAGTTAATGATGATGTTTTCACGGAAAATAAACCATACAAGAGGGCGACAGTCTAAGTTTTACCGCAGACATTCCATTCGATACACAGAGTGGTTATTTACTGTCGCAGTTTTCAAATAGATTGTCACATTATGCATGTTATTAGTGTTCATGAAGCGCGCCACCAACAGGCCAATTAATGCCAGTTTTGATGAAGCTGCCAAACGCGACGTCGACGGTGAACGTTTCCGTCATTAATGCACTGAAAATATGATTGACATAAACACAAACTGTTCCTTTTTCCGCCATGCTTGAAGTTGAGGACACCGCAAGTCACCGAGGTTATATTTAAGGGGGAGGAAATCAGCCTTAGGTAGAGCTAGAGAACGTCTTCAACACATGGAACAGTTTACCTGACCATAGTTAAGAACCTTTGTAATTGTAAATAATGTCACACCTCAGCCTGGCAGGCCTGCTTTACATCGCCTTCAAATACTAGTTGTGTTCATATGCCTGCGCTGTCGTCATGATTGTGTGAAGTTTTAACTTGCTCTTTGCAGGGAAGGCCGCTTCAGTCCATGGTCTTTTTTTACCTCCATGTTTGAACTGAACAAACGACAATACTACTGCCCAAGGAATGAGTGAAAATTGAAGCCCAATGGCAGACGGTAGGAATTTTAGGTCGCATTACTACGAGAAGGTTGGATTTCGAGGGGTGGAAGAGAAGAAATCTCTTCAGATTCTTCTGAAAGATGACCCTTTGGGTGAGTAAAACTCGACTACTTCTTCAATGTCATGAATACACTGTGCTCAGCAAGGTCTGTAAGTCTGGATGTAATTGTAATGCTAAGGAAACTTGATGGGCAATGTCTGTGCAGCTCTGTGCAGCAAGAGTAAGCCGGTGTGTAAGTGTGTTTTCCTCGCCCCTTGGTGTAAGTGAAAAGAAAACCATGAAGTTTATAGGATGGGTTGCTCCAGCTCCACCTTTAAACACCTCATGGTGACAATAAGTCCCCCCCAGAACTGTGGGGTCCGACGTCCGCCCCACTCGTGGGAGCGGGTCAGACGTTGGACCCCACAGTTCTGGGGGTTGACAATAAGGTGCTTCCGGGGAGGGCATTCCACTAAGTTACTCTAAGTAACTCACTCAGTTAACAAGAAACGCTCCTGTCCAGTGTCCACTCCTTGGTCCTCATTTAATCAGTTTTGTTGGTAACATGTAGCCATATTTTTTTTGAGAATTTGCAAGGTCCTGTTGCATTGTCAGTCATTCCATGATTACGAGTCTGACTAACGGAGGTTTTACCGGCATGCTGTGTATTGCCTCTTGAAACATTTGGACATGGCCAGCCCATACTCGCTGATCATGCCCAAATGTCGAAGGGGGTCACAGAATACCATAGGTACTCGGATTACATACGTGCAGGGTTATCAAGTCCATTCTGTCAACCTTTGTCAGTTCTTAGGGTTGAAGGTTTGCTGTCTTTTTTGGGCAGATGTCGGGAAGCTGTCTATGTTTTGTCTTCGTTTTCCACTACCAGCGATGTTCAGACCGCTCGTGTGGAAGGTCATCCTCGGTAAGCTGGAACACAGAGAAAATGACCCCCTCCCGATAATGCTGTCTGATGGATTCACAGTTGTCACATCATGAAGCCATGTACTTCTGTAATTATATTTATAAATGTCCGTAGGATGTATGGATGTGGTACTTTATGGCTTGATTTGCCAATCCATGTTGATTTTGCTACCAACAGTCCATCACCGTCTTCTTTCAAATTCACCCTTCTGCAAGATTGCTACCAAAGACAAAGCCTTGTATGACGTGTTACAAACCGAAGCTTCAACGTTATGCAAAGAATTGTTGATTTATGGTGAAATGTGAAACCATCTTTGCCATTAAAAAATTTTTGAGGGTAGGAAAAAGGGAGGTCTTCTCTTTAGCTGCGCCAGCAATGTTTATTTGTTTACTGTTTACATTTCTGTGAAGGTATTGTTCCGCCCCATCCGACCACGCACGACTTTGTCATGCAGCAGCGACGGGAACAGTGCAACGACCTCCGCGGTGCTCTGAGGGTCATGGGACTAGTTGATGATGGGACTCCGTTGAGCAACGAATTTCTCAAGATGTTCCTCCTTGAAGAGAGAAGATTGCCATTGGAAGATGATCAGTTGAATATCGAGGTATCAAGAATTTGAATAAGAAACTTGCCACTTCAGAATTTAATATTCAAAATGGTATTTTGAAACAAGAATGTTTTTCCTCGAGAAAGTAAACTGGGCTCAGTTTCTTTGCCATTTTTTTGAATTCTCATCTTCCTTCTGCTTTCAGTGTCTGGAGGAGGAATCGTTTGTCTCCTTGGCTGAGACTGCCACAGACATCTTTGACGATGAAGTCGACGCTTACTGGATCGCCGTCAAAATCCGACGCCAGTTGATTGAGAAAGATTTCATATTGCAGTTGGTAAGAAACGACACTGCCTCAGGGTTGTCTCGGGCATTTTCTGTCCTTTCCAAATTGAGATGGGAGTGATTCAAGATTGCATGCACTGCCGTTTGCTAGAAGTGTTCCACCTTACAATTTCATCGTTAGAGTATTGCTTACTTGCAGAACTTCACCTTCCCGAGATGGCTAAACGATGGTTGAACGATAGTGGACTGGGTTCAGTGCTTATTGTCAGTGGGTCGGGGTTCACATCCAGCTGTAAGCCACAGATTGTGTCCTTGGGCAAGCCACTATACCTCAACTTGCCTCTCTCCTCTCACAGTTGTGTGTAAAGAGAGAGTAGTGCCTGACAACTTCAGACTTATGAACCAAAATGGCTGTTCAATTGGCCAGGTGCCAATTTCATTGCGCTGCTTAAACAAAAATTTGTTTAAGCATGAAAACCCTTGCTTGACAAATCAAGTTACCAGCCCAAATTTCTTGTGATGTTTATTGTTTTGGAATGGTATTTACCTGTCCTTTGGTTAAGAGGACAGTCACGTGGAGTTTGAGCTGGTAAGCTTTGTTTATTAAGCAAGGATTTTTCATCCTTAAGCAAACTCTGTGCTTAAGCAGCTCTACAAAATTGGCCCCAGTTTGTTTCACGCATCTGGATCGCTATCAGTGACCCGTCGTTGGATCACTGACATCAAAACCCACCTAATGGATGGAGCGAACCAGCAATGGGATCACTGATCGTGATCAGTGACCCAACGTTGATTCACTGACGCCAAAACCCGAACCAGTGACATGATCACTGATCGAGATCCAAATCCGGGCAAAACAAACAGGCCCATTATGTGTGAAGTACAGCGTACAGTTATTGTCCGTGTGCACCGATGCATAATCCACCATTTGGTTCCATCAATTGAGACGCTAATGTCGCAACTCTCTCCAAAAACAGCTCTCTTGCCACACAAGAGTATAAATGGATTCCGACATTAATTTTGAAGCAACCTGCAATGGACTGGCTTCCCCTACAGATGTAAAAGAAATATTTTTTCAGTCATTTCATGGCAGAGATAAATATGAGCCAAATGGCTTGGAATAGACTTGCTTTTTTATGCAAGTAATGAAAGTTTAGAGTCCAACAGGCTAGAATTTCATGAGGTTCCTGTAGCTCAAGGAATGTTCCATGTGGATGAAATTTTTTTTCTATTCCATTGGGATGAAACTTTATTTCTCCATTTTTATGTTGGCTTGAGGGCTCTGACTGTCTGACTATCTCCTCCCCAGTCGCAGCGATTTGTTACCCAACTCCAGAAAGATGACCCCCAGTTGATACGACACCTGGAGAGCACCGGAACGCTGAGCCGCATGGGACCCGTCTACAAGGCTTGGTTTGGAGGTATCTTTGCAGGGGTAATCCCATCTGGACCTCTTGGGAGGTAAGAAATGTCATCTGTGTTTGTCAGGCCAAAGGGAGAAACGGGTGGGTTCTGTGAACATCCGGTCAAATCATCCCCGTAGGTTGGTAGAAAAATCTTCTTACAACTCCTTTTATGCTATGGTCTTGACACAAACTCAGTGTTAAATTGACTAGTTTAAACAAAGTTGTTTCAATTGACATTGCCAGGTATGAAGTAGAAGCCTAGTTTAGTTTTTACAAGTTGTTTTAGGGAGTGTCTCAAAGGTTGGATATATTTGCATTCCGTTGGACCGTTCCCAAGGAACGCTAGCATTCCATCGTCACGTTCACACGTCATTGGAAATAGTTTATCTGGCCAGGATATAGCAGTCGGTTGTGAGTTTGCATCTTGCTCGGTGTTCAGAGAGTTTTCTGAGCGAGTAGATGTTGAGAAATGTTGTCACAAGTTGCGAGTCATACTACGAGTACAGGTGATCATGAGGCAAAGAAGGGGGCGGGGCATAACTTGTCAGTGGGCAGTAGGGGTAAAAGTTGAATGACCAAACTCTGAATATCCTGCCAATAGTTTCTGAGTTTTGAGTTCTTGTACGAGACCAGTCCCAGGTACATGTAGTGGGTGAATGCTTTAAGTCACAGATCATTCAAAAAGCCTGTGACCTGGCTCAAGACAAGACAACTTGCGACGGGCTCGACTGCTTCACTGTCATCCTTTGACCTTGCACAGGGTGTGGGATCGTTTGCTTGGAGGTGCCGTCTACATCACGGCCTATGTTGCTCAGGTTTTTGTTCTAACTTATCGGAGGCAGCTCTTGGGCATGGCCAAGTATGATGCAATCCTAAAGTTTCTGCTCAAGGTAAGCACATTGCCTTTTGGCAAAACCTGGCTGCCTTGTGGCGTCACCTTCCATGGCCTTTTCTCAAAACCTGGTACGGATGCAGCCTGAAAAGTCCATTTTAAAATCCATGTTAAGTGACTTTTGGTGAAACCCCTTTGCCTTTTCTCAAATCCTGGCTGTGGCTTTAGGTGCAGGTATGTATACCTTTGCCCTTTTTTCAAAACCTGGTTTATTCAGAGCCCCCTTGGCCTAGGTGGCAAAATTTACCCGTGATAATATTTCTTTTGTCCTTATGTAATTGTTGTAGGTGCCACCTGATAGTGCTGAAATGTTGGTAAATGAGGCAATTGAAAGATGGGAGAGCAGTGGGAACCAGACCAAGCCAGATGCATTGTAATGCAATAAGAGAAAGGCACCAGACTAATGGCGAGTCAAGCGACGGAGGGTGCTCAGTAGTGGGCGTGGCTAACATGGAGCTTGTGGCAGAGAATGCAGCCTAGGTTAAGATGCTGTGGGTGAAGGGTACCAGACCACACCAGATGCATCATAATGCACTGGAAAGCTTCCAATTTGAGACGCCAGACTATGGATTTCCTTCTCGCTTCTCGCTTTTGTACCATAAAACTGACTCTAAAAAGATGTTGTCTTGAATCGAAGATGTGTAATTTTATTTCCAAGTCTGCCCTTTGCTCGTTGTGCGTTCAGCACATCGTCTTGTAGTGAAATGGTCTTTCACAGTTCACTCAGTAAGTAAGCAAAGTCAGACGTTAATTTGCCTCTGTACACCCTGTGAGGTTGATTTTGTAGCGTGGTTGCAGGGAGCGTTGGCAAGCAAGGATTTTTTAATTTTGAAGTCAATTTTGTGTATATTGGTCTTTACATCTATGAGTTGTGCAATGAAAAATCCCTTGAGTTTCTTGAGTTTTATTCTAAATAAAGAAACAAATGGGTACTGAGATTTCTTTTAAAGTTTTGTAAATGAAACAACTTACAAGTTTGATTTGGTTTGATAAGAAAGAATGAAAAACTCTTTTATTATCTGATTAGTACAAAAATACATGATTGAAATGAATTACAACTTGACTGCTGGTAATCTCTTTAGTGCTTTCTTGAGTGGGTTCTCACGGAGCAGGCTTGTCTTCAAGTTCCAAGATAAAGTCAAACTCCTCTGGAAAAGAAAGAGCCAATAATCGGCTAAGTATGGAAATATCTGCTTAACGGAAACATGTTACCAGCCACAATGACCAATTTGCTAAGCGGATGAATTTGCTATTAGCAAGATTAGATTTTTAGCTTTGATTCAGGGTTTAAATCTGGTAGTTTTTACCTTCGGTTACTGGCTGCACGGACAGCCTTGCTCGCGTGAAGAGAGCAAGGTTCTTCAGCGGTCCCCCGCTCGTGGCGTGCTTCTGGTAGAGAGCTTTGAGTTCAGCTAACGAGATGAAGCGCTTGGTGTCCCTGACGTATGTCACGTCTACCATGTACCAGCGCGGGTTGTCCTTCGGACTTGAACTTCAGATGTCAGAAATGGAGAAGAAAATGGAAAGAAATGATATGTAACTAGAAACGAAATAATTACAGGAAAACAAGCCCAGCTGAAAATACAGAAATTAAAACAGTGGAAAGTATGAGGTTAAATCAACAGAATTTAACATCAAGTGAAGTGACAGTAATTGCCAATATAGAACATGAAAATGTACATTCCTTTTCAAGGGATGTAGAGGCGTCGTGTTGGTGTAGTGGCTCTTTCCTGCCCTTCCACTTCTGTGACCTGGGTTCGAATCCCACCTAGGTCAGCATGTGGATTGAGTTTTCAGTCCTGGCCTGACTCTCAGGGTTTCTCTGGAATATTTATGCTAGGTTTTCCTCCCACCTCTAAAACTGATCATTTGGTCATTGTCTCCTTCATTATCACTTCATCCTGTACTTGGCGCTAAATGCGCTGTTGGATGATCAGATATAAATAAATAAATGAATATAAAATAACCTCCAGTTACAACCCCTGGCATCATTTTATGTTGAAGTTGAAATGAGGTCATGCTGGAAAATACCAATCTGTCAATTTACAAAAATGTAAGAAGTTTACTTTTGTTCCATAAAATAAGAGTTACCTGTCGAAGTGGGGATCTTTCTTGTCAAACTGGGTGTGATCCACGTAACCCTCTTTTGTGATCTGAGGGGGAGAAAAAAGTACAGATTTTCACTGAGTTGTAAAGCTTTCCTTGGAAGTAGTTACCAGCTAGAAATGGCCCTGGCACTTCCATGGTTGTCAATATTTTCTATATTTAGACTTGTAGTCGTGCTTGGGATCCAGTGACGTATTCAGTGTTATCAAGACGATGCTAAACCTGAAATGGAGCCAAGATTTGGAAATGGCCCCAGCCAGGCTCCTTGGTATGAAATTGTAATTAAAAAGTTAGTAAATGAAAAAGTGCACGTGATCTGGTGACATTAAAATGCCTTTTGTTGGCTTACATTGTGAAGCTGCACAGCGCCCTCGTCAGTTCATGAACAAACCCAATAGCATCATTTCTTTTGGCATTAGAGCAATTTTCTCAGTATTTACCTTGACAAGGCCAGCAATGCCAGGCACTTTGGTGTTGCTGTGGTAGAAGAAGGCAAGATGGCCGACCTTCATCTGATCGCGAAGGAAGTTGCGAGCCTGGTAGTTCCGCACGCCATCCCAGCATGCTGTCTGATTGGGCTCCTTCTTCAGATCCTCCAAGCCAAACTGCCACAAAACAGAAATGACACAAACTGATTTTAAAACCCCAACATTTTAAATAATCGGCCATGTTCAAATGTTGATACAGAATGATATAACGTGTTGCAAGATCACACAGTTTGGCGAGAGATTGAATATGCTGTCAAGCTATGTTAAATAATTGACAACCCGCCAAAAATTTGGGGGCTAGATTTTTTTTATATTCTAAAGTATCCTGTGTGATAGTATTCGAAGAAATCTGACTGACATTGTCAGTTTCAGTTTTGTTTTAGCTATTAGGTTTTGCTTTGATGGACGAGCTGAACTTTGGAGATCCTAGATCTTGTTAGCTCCATTTAGCCATTAAGGTTGGGATGGTCCCAATTATATTGCAATACATCAGCAACACTTGCTTGAAGAATCTAGCTTTTGCTAGAGCAATGGATAAAATGTAAAATTGACATATTCTGAAGCAATTCTGCCAGGTTTGAGCCACAAATCCAGAAGAACAGGTAGAGATGTTTTCTCTACAGCACTGTTGACTATAGTTGGGCTAATTGATAATTGGGACTGATGCTACAATTGGGGGAAGAAGTCTTGTATTCATTGGCTGAAAGTTTGGAAGAGAAAATGAAAAAATCTCGTACTTTGACATCTACCCCTTTCTCGAAGCGGCTTTCCGGTTCCGATTTCATGAGCCACCTGGTGTAGGTCACGCCCCCTCCTGCTGGGCTTCCCTTGGATGAAGTTGCCACTTTTGCTTTTGTCTCAGCCGGTTTCATCTCTGCTTTTGACACCGAGTCTTTACAAAGCAGATTATGGTGAATTCATGTCATAGAAATTGGCAGGAAATTATGAAGAAATCCTATCTCTGACATGATCAGTGTGCACATCAAAGTTTGCCCAGCAGTGGAATACCACTGTGTGGTATTCTTGACATACTAATCAAAGAAAATAACATTTCAAAATAAACAAATGGCAAAGAGCTAGCAAATTACCAATTTTGAAAGTCAACCATACACCATTGTTACTTTAGTGAGCTAAGTACAAGAAACCTCCCCTGAAAAAATGTGAAAAAATGATGACATTTTTTTCCAGAAAATAAGACCATCTTTACCCCTGCATCCCGACCAAAACATTAATATGTTGTAGTCGAGTAATTTGTAAAAATTTCAGATAGGGAATATTCCTATCTGACACTACAGTACTATGACACTATGACAGGCAGTCAGTAAATTTAAAGTTTCAATATTTATGATTTTTTTGTCCTTCAAATTCGCCATTTAAATATCATTCACTACACACAAAAGACACAGTCAAACAAACAAACAAGCAATCCATTGGACGATCATCTACCTGTTTTCTGTCTCTTTCTTGGCGGCATTTTTAACTAATTCTCGAAGTCGGTCCTAATTGATAATTATGCAACTGAAATAGGAAGATAACACAACCGGCACGTGGAATCGATGAAAATAATAAAGCACGCCCTCAATAGCTCGAAATGAGAAAGGGCTCAACAAAGTTTGCTTCAATACTTAATTCGTGTATATCGCTACCACTTACTTATTCTTCATTTTAAAACTCTTTTCGAAACTTTGGAGAATTTTTAATCTAAATTTATAATCCAACATCAACAGTAGCTGTGTTTGGAATACAAAAACGTTACGACGGTCAAATTTGTATTAATTTAGAAAAAAGCCAACTACATGTTGAAATAGTTAATCTGATCAAGCAGCGGCGTGAGCATGCGCAGTGGTTGCCCTTACCAACCAGCCACACAATTTTGTAGCGATCGAAAAAGTTGGAAATTGTGAAGTAAAACCTTAGTTTAAACAGGTGAGTGGATGGGAAATGTACAGTAGCATTATTTTTATTAGACCCACATTGTTTCGATGTTTACGCAAGATTAGTTTGACATGAAGGTTGAATAGACTGTAAAATATTCATTTTGCTGCAAGTTGGTTTTGCTATTTTTTTTTGCTGGGTTAACGTTATTCGTGTGTTTAGGGCATGTAGGGTTGTGAATTGGGGGACCCCGTTTCTGTAACAGAAGGGCCGGGAGACCTACATTTTAACTTTTGGATTCCCCTAGGTAGGTGACTGTGACAAAATGCTCAATAACTGTAGGGTTGATGTTGTGAAAAGAGAGCAGGGTTTGAGTTTTGGAGGGAATTATGAGGGGGAAACTGGGGTGTTGTTTGACAATTGGTTTATTATACTTAGGCCTAGACAGTAAAAAAGTCACATTTTCTCACAATTTCAAATTTCCAGAAGCATTGTCAGCGCAGTTCAGGCAGGGTTGCCTTTAAAGGCTTTGGTTTTTGGGGGGCAATGACCAGGTTTGCGCGTATTAAAATGAGAAAAACTAAAAAAAATGAAAAAATTATTGGAAAGAGTTCCATGTATGGACAACACTTGAGGCCCTGTGGACAAACCTATGGGGCATGTCTGGAAAAAGTGTTTTCTAAGTAAATACTTCGAAATTGTTTAAGCCTAATTTCACTTTTTTAGGACATTTTATCACTTTCTAATGGTTGTTAAGGAAAAATTAGTGTCGTCCGTACATGGAACTCTTTCCAAATTATTTCTTTTCAGCGTAGTGAGCCAGTTTTAATCCTTATCAACCTTTGTTCATCAGACACCATGCCGGCAGTTGGCGATGACGTTCCTATGTACTGCTCACAGCAGATCAACATCCCACCTGATCTTCCTGACATTCTGAAGCAGTTCACCAAGGCGGCCATCCGAACGCAGCCCAACGATGTGTTACAGTGGTCATCGGCGTAAGTAGGCCGGGAAACAAGACTTTTCAATGTGGGATTCCAACTTTTCGGCTTCACAGCGGAGCCCTGTGCAGTTTGCTTTGGGGCCCACTGCTTAATCATTAGAAGTGTTATTATTACCTTCAAAACCACCAACATTGACTACAAAATAATTGGTTCTATTCTGAATGTTTTACATTAAAGTGTCTCTTTTAAAATTCTGTTCGAGGAAATGTGAACATGTACTAAACAGCTGTTTGATGTTTCATTTTCCAGGTACTTCCATGCCCTAGCCAAGGGTGAAACCCCTCCGGTAAAAGAACGGCTGGAGATGCCCATAGCCACGCAGAAGACGGACACAGGGCTCACCCCTGGGATCTTGTCAGTTCTCAACAGACAGGTGAGAGTGCCATACTGAGGTCATAGGTTAGTCTGGTGAAATGCCACACCACCATCAGCTCCATGGTTCAATAAATCATTTACAATTGGTCGAAGCAAGCCTAGAAATTTTGCTGCATATCTCCACATTTGTTCCTCACTGTGCCAAAGAAAGTTTAAGTCAGGCAAAAACCTCTAGACCTAACGTGATTACTTAACCTTGCGTGGCAGCCGTCTTGATTAACATAGCACTGAAATTGGCTGTGACTAGGAGAAACATACATGTTTATGCATTGTAACTGGAGTCGCTAGCCACAGGCAAGTCTTTCAGATGTGGATAAAGACGAGGGTTGTGTCTTGAGATAAATATACACCTCTCCAATTCACCTTGGCAATGATTTTAAATTTAATGCCTTATGAGGAAGTCAGTAGAGGCTTTGCATGGTAGCCATCTTGCAGGGCAGTTCCTCTGTTCCAGAGGGAAGCGTCATTTGTTTGTGCACACCCTGTGGAACAAAGCACTGACCAGCAAGATGGCAGCTGTGCAAACCCTGAAGTGCACCCCCAATCAGCAAAAGAAAGACAGGTGGTTACAAATGGGTTGTTGCACGTGTTCTGAAAGTACGCAAAGACCATACATGCCGGGAAAATATGAGTTATGCGTACTAAGTGTGCTCCGCGTCAAACGGGCATATACTTGCACGCCTCATGGCGCTCCTATGTGGTGAGTACCAAAAACATGCCCTCTTTTATTCCACTCGAAGTAGATTGTATACAGAATGTGGTTTGTAGAGAATCCTTTTTAAAAAAACATGGCAGCCTTTTCATATTATCTGGGTGAAAGTTTTTTGAGTGATATTAACTTGGCATTGAGTCAGGGATGCTGAAGTTATACGAGGCTTTGCCCCTTTATACCGACGTGTGTATTCACACTGTTCTCGGTGTGACTCGAGAGTTGCGGAAAAGTCCTTAACTTGCTCAGGTGGGATTCGAACCCACGACATCCTATCCTACTAGTGCAGACATCTTAACAATTCAAGCGCAGAGTTTGATAGAATCAGGTGAATTCATTGCAGCTGGGGTACTTCAAGAAGTCAATATGAATTTCGCTTTGCATCTGGGATATTAATTTATTCCCCCGGCCAATATTTAAAGCTCGGTCCGAAGAAAGTACTGAAGCTGTCGGACTTGGAGCAGAAGTGGAAAGACAACTGTTTACCCAACGAGCGGCTGTACAGCTTGCTTCAGCTGGGCAGCTTCGGAGACGACATTGAGTGGCTGAAGTTCTTTGCTTTGGCCTGCTCGGCCCTGGCTGGGGTGAGTGCTGTTACCTGGTGGGTGGCATCTGCTCTGTGTTCCGACAAGCGAGGGCAGTATGCAGTCTGCTTGTATTAAAGATGAAGATTAAAGCGATAGTATTACGTTGTTGTTCAAGTGAATCTTTCCTACACAAATGGAAGACTATGAGCATCGCCAGTTTTCGGTTGAATGTGCACAAAATGCCTCAGCACACTTTGGAAGTGAGGCTGTGTGGACTCTGAGTCCATTTCCAAACATCTGTAGTAGAACAGGTCTTCTGCAGCAAAGTTCACTTTCTCATTTGAATTAACCACAAAATTTGTAGAAGTTAGAACAATCAGTAAATCTCGGACCTTCCTATTAAACGTAACTTTGTCAAATTTTAGGCATATTTTATTGAGGGAATAAATATGTGCTTGGCTGGTCTTGAACATGCGTTTAAGACTGGCTCGGGAGAGTGGATGTGGCTAATGCCTGAGCCGCAGGCAAGGGCATCATCAGTATTCGTTCTCTTGAGGAAGGTCTTAAATGTAAGTTTAAGGCCGGCCAAGTACATATTTGTTCCTATTTATAAATACATATTTATTCAGAGAGCAAAGAGAAGACAACCGATGATTGATTTCCAACGATTTTGTTCTAAACCTTTAAGTTTATTCTCCTGAACACCCCCGTCTATTTTATGGTATATCCCTTTTGAAAGTTGTCCAATAGAATCCCCTTCAATGAACTTAATGCGTGTGGCACATTGCGTGCACACAGACTCCTGACCAATCAGACCCAATTAAACTGTCGCGTATCCATGATTTTGCACAGCAGTGGGCATTATCAAATGTTAATACGTGGTCATGGGATGCGTTTCGGCCAATAGGAATAGAAAAACTGTCCCAGGTATTTATGAATGTATTTTATTTTCAGTAAGTTGGAAAAGGATCTAAAATGCATTGAAAGTCTAATCTTTCTTGTAATCTTCAAAATGGTCAAATGGTCAAATTAGCACAAAAACAAGAGATCCCAGTGCTTAAAACAGCAGTTGCTTTGATTGAAATTTGTGAGGATTTTTTCTAATTTCCAATGCTTTGCTTTTTCAGAACATCACCAGTGCCATGAAGGTCATCTGTGAGATCTTGACCCGTGACCCGGAGGGCGGGGCAGCTCGGATACCCTTTGACCTCTTCAAGGAGCTCTATACCTACCTGGCCCAGATCGATGGGGAGATCTCAGAAGAGCAGACTGAGAGTGTATTCACATACCTGCAGTATCATGTGTGAGTGTTTGGCTTACTGTACAATCTGTGCATGCACTAACGAGGGCGCTATTTAACTCACTCATGAGTGTGGAGTGAGGGCGCTTTTGTTGAAACCGTTTGATAGTTAAAGAAGAATATTTGCATTTTATCTTATGTTAATACTTGATAAATTTACTGAAGTTTTGTCCAAACACTCTGAGCAAATTTCCCATGCTGCTGAGAATAGAGATCTCTGGCGCAAGCAGATTGCACAAATGGCCTCTACCCCCTAGGGCAAGAGATCTGATAATATGCCTGTAACTGAACCATATCTGTTGCTCTATCCTCACATCCCATCATAGTTTTCTGGATTCACCAGTACGTTGAGTGTAAGACCAAGTGTTTCTTTTACAAGATCATCTCTCTTTTTTGTTTCTGCAGGGACAAGCAAAATGGACTGGTGCAACCTCGTAACTTCCTCAATCCGGATTGCCCCAAACTTGGTCCATAGATTGCATTTATGGAAACCAGGTTTGTTGTACAAACAGTTCTATCCGTATCTATTGTAAAAAAGTTAACTTAAATTCGTTCCATCGGCATTGTACAAAATTGCTTCAAACAGATTTTAAATAATAGTTTTAATTTGTTTGTGGTTTTTTTATGAATTCAACGTTTTCTTCCATAAAATCTAACGTTTTGAAAAACAGATGTTTTTTCCCATTTATTCGGTATTTTAAGCATAGGAACTTAATGTCGATAAATGCACTACTCCACAAGTAATTTTGCGTCACATCAACGTTTTGAACAAAACTTCTTTTTCCCAATCAATCCAAAAAGGCATAATTGTAACTTTAGAACTCTTGTATGTATATATTTCCCCTGTTGTAACTTCACGCTTCCAACCGAAGTGCAAAGTGTATGAAACTTCCTACGTCAGAAGAAATAAACTAACATTTGTAGATAAAAACTACTTGTCAGGTTTGTCGTCTCAAAATATTTTCATTTTCCCCAAATGATCATCCAATATTTTCATTTTGCAAAAAAAAAAATCGTTTTGAATTCCACTTATTCCGCTTTAAACTTGTCTAAAAAGCACACAAAGATGTTACAGGCAACGGGAAGAAAGGAGCTACATTAAAAACAAAATGAAATCTCACTCCATTTTTCCTTGGGACAATTTTATTTGAAAAACACTTGAAAAAACTTCCAGGGAAATGATCTGACAACTTGCTGAGAGTCAAACTAATTTTTCTAAACAATTCAAATTTTAAAAGCAACAACCAACAACTTAATAATATAAACACCTCATGCTGCTCAATAGCAAATTCAGATTTAAATAGTTCTTGAATCAGATCCCAAAAACCATTCCTGGAACTTATTATAATATACAATATATTACTTTAGTTACGTATATTTTTAAATTTTAAAACGGCATTTGTGAGGATTTTTTTTCCTGTCATTAGAAAGAATGGAATTGCATTTGCATTAAGCTTACAAAAAATGGAAAAAAATGAACTTCGGCAAAACAATACACATTTCTCTGTTGAACAAACTGCAGCACGTTTTTCTCGCTTTACACATTCATTGACAGAACTTAAGATGCAAATGATTCTTCATAACGGGCTCACAACATCGGACCAACAGCCAGTTGGCACTAAAGTCAAATAAAAATCTGAACATCGATATTTCAGAAATAATTCTTAAAATCTGCTTCAACCAATTTTCAACGAATTCAACCTGATGAAATTTCAACAAATTCTAAAATCCCCTGTACACAATGATAAAAAGTCTTACGAAATGGAATAAATTCAACTTTCATTTACATGTATCAGCTTTGACGTAGAGTTTTAGTGTTTTCTGTCATGACGTACACTTAACATATCAGAAGTACAATACTTTAATATAAGGAAAGGAAAATTTTAGCAAAGGGAAAATAACTGTCAACAGTATATTCCACTTGATACTTTTCATTATAATTTAACAAGGGGGCAACCTGCCCTAAAACTTCTCAGTTTGGTTGTTTTACGAGTCTTATTTCTGAACAGCTCTGAGTTCTTTTCCAGGTGCATTTGCCAGCTTCTTACCTCAAACCACGACTGTACGAGTAACTATGCTGGATTTATGTCGTTTACGGCCTGATGCACCCAGCTCCTGGTGGTCTGGATCCTGGCTGGAAGACAGCTCAAAGTCGTACCTCTGTCAAGAAAAAAAGGAAATCTGGACCACATTAATCCAGCAAAAAAAATTCAAATCCTTCGGATCTTCGATCCTGGCTGTACTACAAGCAGCAATTATTTGTCAACCTCAGGTGTGTGAAAGTCACCATGACCCCAGAAATGTTGGGAGGACATCTTCAGCATTGTTGAAACCAGCCATATTTTAGTGCAGGACAATTTAGTTATGGCGAACAGAGAGAGCGAAGCGACCGAAGTCTCGCGAGTCACAGCCAGGGGTCCCAGGGCCTGCTCAAGGGGTCTCTAGATAAGCTTTTTTGGTGAGTTTTTCTGTCTGTTCTGTCTGTGTCAGGCTGCGAGGCAACTCCTAACAAGAAAACATACATGCACTGTGGCCACACCTGCCAACCTTCTTCCTGAGCTCAGACATTAGCACACAATACATTAAAAGGTATTGAAAGGAGCCTTCAGTTTCTTCAAAATTTTAATCTACTGTGTGGTAATGCCTGACCTCAGGAAGGGGTATGGCATGTTGGCAGGTCTGAGTGGCAAAAAAAATGGAAAATCGGTCTTACATCATCGTTAAGAGGAACTGCTCGTTTGTGTGACACTTTGCCCTTCCCTACGTCTCTCTTCTTACTCTGCTGGGAGGAGGACGATTTTGGAGTGGATGAGGTTGCAGCTCGTTGGGAAGATGAAGGTTTTGGAGGGAAGTCTTGATGAGAGGTTTGGCGGGGACGGAGACGGCTCGTCATTGTCAGCTCGGCAGTCTGCTCAGCCAGCTTGTCAACCTGTGAGTGATAATGACAACTGGTCACTGTTGTATGCCACACTTTGCCAGCTTGTCATACCTGTGAGCGGATGACAATTGCTCACTGTCAAGCCAACAGATCACACTGCTAGCTTGCCAGCCTGTGACACGACAGTGACAAACTTAATTACCCACAGACCGTGCGTCAGAAGTTGCCATTCATGCCTTGCAGGAGCAAAAAGTTGATGTCACGGCCAACAGTGGTGAAATTTCCCCCAGAGTTATGTGTTTTGCGTTTGCAAATTTTGCCCAAACAGTTCCACACTGTTCTCATTTGCTTTGACCTATACAAGAACGGGCCTGAAATTAGCCCTGTAACATTCATTCAAACTATCAACTTAGTCTTGAAATAAATTTCCTACAATGCTTTTGACGAATGGAACTACTATTTAGATTGCCCGAGAGACTTTCACTTAATATCAGTTGATACATTTAGCACTGAATTTCCTAACCTGAGTGACTTTTCGTTTCCCTTTCTGAGAGGCAGCTTTCTGATTTCTCGGCATTTCCGAGCTAGGCTTGGCTTCGTCTGACTTCTTGGTAGGGACATCGTTGCTCGTCTTCCTCTCAAAGTATTTCTTGAGTCCCTCCTTTTGCAGTTTCTCCTTGTTTACGACTTTGCCCAGTCTGCATGCATTCCGGGCAATAACCGTTATCTTAATTATCTTAATCATTATAGCCACTGATACTCAAAAGATTTCTGACTTGCAGGGAGTTTTATGAGTTACTGAAGAACATTCCAAGAAGACTAATGAAGTAATGTACACGTATGTTAATTGGTGTCAGGTGTTGGGGCAAACATGAATGATTTGGCTAAATATCCACCCCAAGTGGAAGCAATTAGTAAGTGTACAATTTTCCTAGTTTTCTCGTTTCATTTGGTCTGTTACGAACACTGGCCACACCTAACCCTATAACTAAACCTAATCAATCCTAGCTAACCGCTTATATTAGGGACCACTGAAATGATGCATATTGCTTGTTGGATTCATACTGGTTATAGGGTTAACCCACAAGATTCAGGCATGGTTAAACTGTAAACCTAACCCAATGCAAGTCTGTGGGTTAATTTTCCCCGAAACATTCATCCAGAGTGTTCTTCCCACGTTTTAAACTGAATATTTCTTCACTGTCCTCTTCACTCACTATCATCCTGTACTTGGCGCTGAATGCGCTGTTGGATGATCAGATATAAATAAAACCAAAAAACGGTTCAAGCTAAATATGACCCCAGAGAAGATTAAGACATGGCTAGCCACGCCGTTAAGCTAACCCTACACAAAATTTGGACGTGGCCAATAAAACTGGTCCCTAACCCTAAGGCATTGCCACTCAAATCAAATCATTCAAGATGTATAATACCTTTCACAAGATAAACGATCAAGCCGGAGTGTACTCACCTCTTTCCCTTGCTGGCGTTCTGGCAGTAACCTTCCTTCTCCAGGCGATTGACCAGTCCATGAGCCACGGTCATCTCCACGCCCAGCCGGCGGGAGAAACTGGGCACCAGGATGCGGTTGGTCTCAGTAGCGGCAAGCAGGGCACGACGCCAGAGACACGTGGCCTGCAGCACCACGGGAGCGAGTCCGGTCAGGTGAGGGTCCGTGGGCTTGAGGTGGCGAGGGGTAATCTGTCAGAGATGCAAAACTCGAAGGCTGACCTCCCACTAAATTCTGAACCCAGCCCTATCTGTCTATCAAGCCACCTGCTGAAACCATCCCCCGTTCTGTATTGCATGCATCCATGCTTGCTTAACCCTTGCCTGCTTTTGCTGTCAATAGTTCTGGGTCAACGTTGCCCGCTAGCAAACAGTTTTTATATGTTTTCCATTTCTTGAAAGTACTGACTGTATTGGTGACCCAGCCAAAGCTGAACGCCCCCAATGCCCACTCTTAAGAATCTTACACACGCAAATCAAGAAAAACGATCAACATTTTTCCACTAATAATGCCCACATTTTCATCAGGATATGAACAGCTTATAAATATATTTGCTTTCCTGAAGCCAAAACTGTTTGAGGGCCCTTGGTTTTGATCCTAGCAGAACCTTAAAAGCAAAAAGACCTCACAACAAAATTACAGAAAAAGATACAGCTCCAGTGAAAACGTCCAGTATGTTTTATGCGTTAAGTTTGAACACAAGCATTTTTGCTCAAGTATTTTGCCATGAGCACGGGTAACAATACTTTGTCACCAGAACTATGAATGTGCAAACAGGAACTGAAATTAGACTATAATGCATGTAAGTACTTCAGTTAATGTGAGTACGAGTTTAATGAATTCCGCAAGTGTGGGGGACGTCACATTTCACTCCCAGCAGAGCCTTTCTAATGCAATTATCTACTTTGTAGTTATCACGGTATCGCGTACCTTGACACACTGGTCACAGATGTGTTTCTCAGGAGCCTGATCTTCAGATATGATGGCGAAGCAGACGGCATGCTGCCACTGTTTACACTCCTCACATCGAATCATCAAACCATCGTCCTTGGAAGAAACAAGCAAGACAAATCTAGCAAGACTTGGAAAAAAAAATTAAGTGGATGAGGGTTGAAGCCACAATCTCCTGTCTGCAAGTGCAGAAGTTTATAAACGCGGAGCCACAGAGCTTTCCAGTGTTAAATGACCAGAAAATCTTAGATGCAAGTGAATGCCACGATGAATTGTTTTTTTAACTTTGCTGTCTTTGTTTTGATGTTGAGTTTGCAGCGTCTTGGTAGGGTGAATCAAAAACTCATGTTGGAGAGAATTTGAAAACGAAACACTGACCTCAACAATAAACGCAAGGTGCCGCTAAAAATAAATTCCAATTTTAACCGAAATGTCTCATCACACACAGATCCAGCACATACGCTTCCAAACGAATCAGTCGAGGGCAAATGCACAGTTTTAATGGTATGTCAAAGGTCATGCGTGTTTGTCTCACCCAGAGTCCCAAGATGCAAAGTACTGTTTTGTACACATTCAGTTGAAAATTTGATGAGTTCATTTGGTACCACTTTTGCACACTGATGTACGCAGTGTGTTGACATTTCGTCTTGTATGTCCAGTTAGCCCTATAGAAGTGTTTGCATCACGTCCATGCAGAAAAAAAGAATTTGTGAGAGGCGGACCGATTTGTCTTACCTCGTTGCATCCGCAGGGGCAGCGGACGACGTTCTCCTCTTGCTCCTCATTCATGAATGGCATATTGGACGAGGAAGACGAGGCAGGAGTCGAGGCCTCGTCAACTTTGTCTTGGTGTGGGTAAAACAGAATTATGCCTTCACTCAGGAAATGTCAGGTGACCGAAGGTCCAAAGCTTTATTACTTCTTTAAGAAAAAGGACTATATCCCTTCTTGGCATGAGCGCAAACATAAATACAGTCACAAAAAGTATCTGTGTGGTAGATTTGCAAAAGATGAATATATTTCCAGATGGGCAAATTAAAATGATACTGACATCTGTCATACATTCACATTTGTCGGAGCAAAAGGTCTAGATCTTGGAATTGAATGGACCTAATATTAATTTAAAATCATGTTGCCAAGTGATGGATTTTCTAAAAAGACCATATTTAAAATTTTCCTCAGAAGTATATACAAGAAAACTAGATCTGAAGGGGTTCCAGAACACAACAAACAATTTGCAGCCTCTACATTCCTGAAATAAGTCACAAGAAAGTGAACAGAAGCAAGTTTTCTACATACAAAGCAAAGAAACTGATTATCAAACACCAGTTATACTTCTTCCTAGAAATCTACAGCCATCCACAAGCGAAACTCCATATTTACCGGGTCTGTGGGGGCTGCTGATGGGAACATCACACTTAGCTAGTTCTGCAGCTTGACTGCTCTTTGATGTTTTCCTTTGCGTTAGGGATTCCTCCTCATCGTCACTGTCTTGTTGGGGATTTGTGTCCGCTGGTTTCGCTGTTGGCTCCTGTGAGAAATGTTGAATAAATGCATCACGTTCAAGCTAGGTCAATACATGCCTGGGATGTAATGTGTGGATGTGCGCATTCCGCTGAAAATACAGCCTCAATGCCACAAGTGTGCTGCAACATACAACATACCAAGAGAGGAAACAATGCTCCCCATCTTCTGAGAGTTTCCATGGTTGCATTGTGCCACATATTTTTAAACTTACATCCCATTGGTTGGGTTCAAAAGTAAGCACAAACACGGACCAATGAGAGCGCAGTTAAGATAGCACCAGGGTCAGGCAGTCAATGACACCTGCTCTACTTTCTTTATTCCTACCTCGTCGGTGTCCTCCCCATCAAGGGCTGAATTGCTGACCACATCTTGCTTGTCTGTCTCCATGGCAACCACATCCTCTTCATCCTTTTCATTGTCCTCCCTTAACTCAAACTGCTTGCGATCCGTCTTGATGCGGAGTTTCACGCTGGAGGGTTACATAACCAGAAAACAAACTGAAGCAAAGATTGAGTGACATTACCTAAACAGTGTCCAGGGCTAAATAACTTGGCTGATGATTAAAAATATACAGACACAATATATTATTATAAATAGATACACAAGGGTCATGTGATAAATGTGGGGTCCAAAAGTGTGACATTTTTGTGTCCCTGTTACACCAGACTTGAGTAATTTTACATGGAAATATCACTTAAATTGATTTCAAATTACTTCTATTTGTTCGATAGGTAATTTGCATTAATACATCATTCTTAGAACTAGGAGCAACATTCCGAACTTACTAAATCATACGTCAGGTGTGACAGGGACACCAAAAAAAATGGCACCCCTAATTTACAAAATAATCAACCCACAAGCCAGTTCCAGGATAGAAAGTTCTGAAAAGACAACTTACGTGTGAAATGACTGTTAATGAGGTCGTTATTATCCCCAGTAGACACGTCAGTAAAGGTTGAAACGAGAAGGCAAACGAAAAGAGTAACAAAAAAGTAGTTAAGATTTAATTTGGTGTGGATTTATTGGTATTTTGACAACTGTACAGAAGGGTATGACTGAAGCTTTTTGTCTGGAGGAATTTCTTGACAAATAGTGACGGTTGCTCTGATCATTATATGCCCAATGTGTCTATTAAGCTCCCTGGGTTTGCATTTCAAATAAGAAAACTACATTTGCAATTGGATCCACAAAACTGAGTCTCAAGGCCATAGCTTTTGGTAAGTTTAGATGATTTGGTTGACTATTAATGAATCGCCCAATTTGGAATCCTGACAAAATGAACAATTAATTGGTGAAAAAAGTTGACGGTGCCCACCGATTTACACATGATATGACTTGGGTGATTTGATAAAAAAATGGCACTCACAGTGGACACGTCTCCCACTCTGATGTTCATGGGCTCTTCTTCAAAGTGGAAAGAATCAGTCTCTGCCGGTTGGAAGCCAGGAGGCTCGTAGTCGGCTGGGGTGACTGTTGATAGACAAGAATGAAACACCAGACAAAATTGAATGAACGAATCGTTGACAGATATTAATTGAGTAACTCCACTGAACGTGTGTGGGATGCACAGTTCATTTGAAAGTCGACCAACAAAACTAGAATTAGACTTCAATCACTTTGTGCTGGAGGGTGTGTAGACGTGATCCGGTTTTCTGTATATATACACCGGAAGATCACTATTTTGAACATTTGGCTTTATATAAAAGCTGGACACTTTCTCTTCCCTTTTCTGAAAATTCTGGCCCAAAATAATATTGTTGACAGGTGGTTAAGACTACAGGCAGATTTGTTTATGTCATGAAGCAGTGCTCAATCCACCAACATGTATATTACCCTTGATATGGAAAATGTAAATATCCAAAAACTGTCAGACTTTACCGTCGTCATAATAGAGAAGTTTCATGGTCATGATGACATCATCGGGCAGAGATTTCAAGCTTTGTGTCAGTACCACGATGGTGCGGAGCAGGCGAGTTGTAGCTTTCTTGGTCTCTGCTTCGGTAGTCGCCCCGGCAATCTTCTTATCATTTCTAAATGAAGACAATATTAGTGAGTTCACCCCAACAACTCACATCTAGGGTTGGACAAGATCAAATTAGTTATAGTTGTTGAATGTTCAAATACACCTTGAAAAATTTCTGAGATGTTGGCAATTCTTGGTAACTTTTGTTTCTCTATGTATCTGTCAGCACACTCTCTCTTAAAAGTACAGTAGATTTCCCGATTGATCATCACTGTAACAGAGGAAGTGTTGCCTGGGAAAGATGGACAAAGTCCTAAAACTTTAAATTAAATATCTGCAGGCAAAATGTATGTAAACTGTTGACAAAAACTAATACTTATCTCTTGCCAAATTCTGCTTACAGAGATAAAAACTCCTGATGGACAAAGACTCACTTATCTGACAATGTTTCCAGTGCAGAAGTTGTAAAAAGGCAGGTTCTTTAGCTAAGCAGGAAAATCCACTGGATGATTGTAAGCAGACAATTCAAACAAATCTAGCATTTTATCTTCTTTACGTTATACAATTATTGAAACTGGACAGCCACTTGAGAACTGCAGGGGATTGATCGGAGGGAAATCAGGAAAAATGTCTTTCTTCTCTATGAACTCTGAACTGGCTGATGCAGAACTTTGGGAAACTAGGAACAGCGGTGTATTGATAAAATAAAAGTGGGATGATTCAGCTACCTGTATATCTGGATGCCTTCCCCTTGGTAGGAAAACTTGAAGGTATAAGACTCAATCACGGTCTGTGGAAATTAAAGTTAGCAATACAGATACTTGATGAGGCAATCTTTTTGTCAGAAATGATGTCCGATCTTTTAACTTTTGACAGGACAAGGCATGATAAAAATGCAAACATTGGAGAACCAACAATAGAGTATTCTAATTGTGTGATGTTTGCCTTAGATTTACGAAACTTATGGCGTTTCATAACTTAATTCCTTGTGGCAAATTATTTGAGTTGGTTTTTGCTGGAAAATAAATTTATCTATTGAGCTAGAAAAAAATATCTAAATTTTGACAACACTTGTACTTACATCAGGCTCATCTGGATCAACATAAATCTGTAAAATGCAAAAAAAAAGGCTTCAATTTTTCGAACAGGTCCCCCAATCCGCCCTAAAGACACGAAACTATTTCTCAATACAAAAGAAATACAAACATTGATACACTGAAATTAAAACTTCTGGGTGTAAGACACATTTTCAGAAACTTACATTCAACAAGACACGTATATCACTTTCAAGGAAGATACTGAGATTGAATTTTAAATTTATTCAGCACTTCTTTTCATTGAAAAACTGTTCCTACATTGTAGTCTGTGTCCAAAATATGAAACTCACAATTGTTCATGTTGCTACAAATTCATTGTAGCAACACAATCATTCGGAAGGCAAAGCATACCTACCCCAATGGTCAACGCGCGAAGCTGCAGAAAATAGAGTATAAAAGAAACAAAATGATCAGTGTCTGTCTATCGTGATGAAAACCCGAACTCGAATCACTGAACTACAATCAATCTGAAAATTTGAACTTTTGCACTGTTAATGACTAGAGTTTACACCTAATGTTGTAATGATTCGATTTGCTTTGTATATCTATAATCTCATATATTTTTGCATTTTGAGGGTTCCAAGTGATCACCTTTCATGTGAGAGGTCACCCTCATTGAAGATGGTTTGAAAATGAATGAAATTTTGTGACTTGCTGTACAGTTTAACATAATCCTGAGCCCACTGAAAGCATACATCAAAAGGTGTCTTTTAAGAAAACTTACATATTTCTTGTCTAGTGCGTCGAAGCAACCTTTGACCCACTTGATCACCTGACAGGCCCCTGGGCATGCACTGTCGTCTCGCAATATCTTCAGATTTAGATCTACAACAATGTGGGAAATTTGGTCAAAGTTTTTCTTGAATTCTTCTCAGGCTAATTAATGTTGAGACGGAAAGCCAAATTCTGAGGACAATTTTGTCAATTTCCTTTTCATCCATTATCATCATTTGTAACCACTGACCTATTCAGTTTCTCTATACAGTTTTTTTGGTGATTTGTGTTCAAAAAGCCATATCCTCTCCGAGTGATCCCTATTCACCACTTTCCAGGTTGCATCATGTAACTGAGGCATGATCCCTGGCTATGGTGTTTCATATTCCATGGCACCCCCCCTCAAAAAAGATATTGACAAATGGGAAAAGCCGCTAATGTTGGGCTGGATAGCTCAAAGCACCGGTATGTTGTTCATCTTTACAACCAAACATAGGTTTCATAAGCACATCTGATACATCCTTAGGCCTGCCCCCAAAAGTACAGTATAAACTAATCATGTGTAATCATTTCCAACAAAAGCATTTTCTTGTCATTTTTAACTGTCCATATAACATGCAATTAGTGTCATCTAAGTACAATTTGCTCAGGTCTTGTCGGAAAAATAATAGAGAACAGAAATCCTGGCTCACCTTCCAAACATCGGTCCCCGAAGGCATGTTCAGGAAAGATCGTCCTGAGGTACATGATGTTGGAAACTGCGACTGCAAGTAGTTTTTTAATGAAGAGAGCCGACTGTGTCTCTGAGATCTGTTCTGGAGGGAAAATGGATGACCACTGGGGGAAAAAACAAGGTGGATGGGAAATAATTTAAGAGAGAGAGCCTTAAAGTTAGATGACAATTACGAGGGATACACAGACCTACCATAGAATACCTTTGGTACAGCAACAACTTGAACCTAATTCAAATGAAAGCGTTAACTGCTAAACTGTTGCATGGGCAACGCATAAAACATAAGTTTAGCAGTGGAAGACTGGAGAGTATCATGGGACCTTTATGCTACATAATTTTAGGCTCTTTGGACAAAAGAGGGGGAACCTAATTGCAACAATTACACCTTGCCTTCATCAGTTTTCAAATTTAAAGTCAAATTAATTATTAAAGCATGGTCCAAAAACAAGAAATGGGGCAAATGTGCAGACGTTGGGGGTTTTGTAAAATTTGCTGCTTAGTCACAATGCTTTGTTATCTAGACAATAAGGGCACAGGCCTAGACCTATGTAGCGTGTATAGCCCAAGCCTGGGCTTAGCCTAGCTTCAACTTCAGTTAGCCTAATGAACATTAGCCTAGCTAGGCTATACCATGTCTGTACACTATATAGTATAAGCATGCTAAGGCATAGACATGATTGATAGAGCCCTGGGCCTTTAAATAGTTTAAATTCATATCCAAATATTATTTTAATTTGTGTGGGGATTGTATATATTTGCCCCAACCCTCATTTGTCACAGCTTTAATCTTGTAAAATTGGTCAGCCCCTCCCCCCAACCAAAAAACCCACCAAAGGCGACTCTCTCTTTATTGCACTGACCGTATTTTTGGGAACTTTCAAATTGTAAATCGTGAGACTTGAAAATATGACTTTCTCACTGCTTCATCGTTCACTGTATGTCTAGGCCTAAGCCCTACAGGCCCTAATCACCGCTAATGATCAGGCTAACGTCACTGCAAAATAACTTTAGTTTTTGGTAAAAGCTATAAAAATCATGTCCGACGCTACCATGGCTACCCACCTCTCCTGTCTTCTCCCTCACTCGCTGTGAAGTTGCAGTCATTTTCCCACCGGCACTTGGCTGTACACGACTGCCAGTTCAATTAGGCTAGCAAGTCTTCCGTCCGATCCCGCAAGGTCAGCCTCGCTTACACGGCCTACCGGTAGTGCAGCTCAGTGAACAGTGGATCCAACCAGCAAGCTACGGTCACGACGGTGGCAGGAGGCTTATCAGCTTACGGATAACTTCCCCGAATTCAAAAGCCACGAGTTACAGGCCAACACTGGGCTAACCCTGTCTATACTTGAACATGACGATAGTTTATACGCGAACAATCCTCGCTTATTTGGTCAAACCAGCTGACATAAATACAGCAAAATAACGGCCGACACTGGCAGCCAGCCTAGCCTTCCGTCAGCAAGCTTAAGCGCACGACATCTGCGTGCACATATGTACATCGGATCAAACACGTCCGTACGCGCGCACGCTTGTATGTGCGTGAACGCGTCCGGTGCATGTACTGACGTCAAATGATCCGAAGTTTCGCGCCAAAACATAATAATGTCGTCTGCCACAGCTCAGATCATTTTAACCCAAATTTACGGATTATGTCTGTTCAATTAACATTTCCATTGACATTTTCTTGTTAAATACTGCACTGCGCTGGACGCTTTTATTTCCAATCTCAGTGTTTGTCAAAATTTTTTGGAAAAATTCGATGAAGTACATGTATCTCAAGAAGCCTGACACATAATTACTACGTAAGTGAGCACGTTTTATTGGTTTTAAAGTCTTAATTACAATTAACTCCAGATGTCAAAGCATACTAGTTTGGAAAAACAAAAAGAACCCAACAGAGGTGGATCCAGCAGGATTATTTGCTGAGGTGGGGAAATTTTTGTTCAGTGAAGGAGGTGTGTAGCATAATCTTTTTATTGTGTCCTTCACCGTCGCGTTCACGCCAAAAGACAAGGGAAAATGGCAACTGAGCGGTTGACAGTGACCCCCCCCCATCCGCGCTTGAAAACTTTTTGGCCCCAAGCTGGACCTAGAGAGGGCGCAATTTTCCTAGCAACGGAGGCTCCTTTGATAGTAACTGCGCATCGCCATATCGCTGGTTCACAAACGACTTTGAAATGTACGCGTTATGGTCGCATCACTACCACAAAATGAGCACTCGATCCTGATGATCGACCAACATGATAATGGCTCTTTTCCACAGATGAGGGGGTGCTTCTGCTCAAGGCGGATAATGAACACGGGGGCAAAGTTAGTCCTAATCCTTTTCTACCGCTGTCGCGCTTCCATGCCTTGCTTAATTTCTGCTGCCATGCAACATGAATATACCGGTCCCGCATGTGGTTGGAAGAGCAACATGTTTTGGACGGATCCAACAAGATGAGATCGGGCAGACTCAATGCTATAATTATGCTTGATGTACATGAAGTAAGCCGTCGATTGAGCGGACCTTAGGCCCTATATTCGGGGGAAAGCAATTGTTTTCTGACCTTGTTCTTCCCGGAGGTGCACTAACTTCACAAGAATTAGTCGTTCAATGCAGCCTGTTAATTATAATAACATTTACACCGAGGAAAGTGTCTTCAACCCTCACCAAATTAAAAACACCTTTACTAAAAATACATTGCTCAGAAATCAACCTAATACGTATAGGACATGGTTTGGTTTTCCGTGACTTTGCTCACACGGATTTATACGGTTTCGTTGGATCCCGTCACCGGCCCGAGCGAAGCTTATCGGCCGCCGCCAATTATGATAATCAAATCTGGTGGTAGGCAGTGGCTCCCCCCCAAAAAATGGTCCTATAGAACTGAGGTGCACCCCCAACAAATCCAATCCCAATACACACTCCAGCCTATTCTCACTTAACACCCCCCCCCCGATGTCTGAAAAGAATTCCTGAGATACCAGTATAACAGTGACCAACACAACAGCCGGTGAGGGGGCCGGGGTTCTCTCTGTCCAATAGTTTCCTTCATGTTCTTTCAGAGCAGCTGCCCCCTGCCGAGTTAAAAGTAGTGTTGCGCCCTCTTGTGGCAATATAAACACAATCCACGCGGCATTCATTCGAGGACCGCCAGTGCACTGCCGGTATCGTGAACAAACAGCAAGTAATTAGCTCCCTAAATCAGTCGAAAGAAGCAGTTTACAGCCATGGTAACAGTTGAACAGCTGTACAAGGACTACGGAGTGCTTGCTGATGCTGGTGATAAAGCAGGGCAGGTAAGAATGTCGGATATTTGGCTGATTAACGTGATCATTTCTGCGGCATGATGATGAGGTTTCCATTTTGAGTTTAGTCTGGTGGCAACTTTACCACAACCTGAGACCAGTTGTGCGGATACAGGGAACTTGACGTTCTGGTGGGTAATTGGGCTAAAAATTTCAATAAACTGATCTAATTAATCTTGAGGCCTATGTCATGCAGAAGTAACTTGGCAAGTAGGACTTCTTCAACGCTGGTCCATCATTGGACCTGTTGAGTGTGTGATAAAAACTGCTTGTCTTCTGTTATGAGTGCAGTGTGCAAATTCATCAGTCATTAGGGGTCATCACTCATGTCACTTACCCCAGAACTGTGGGGTCCAACGTCCGCTCCTCTCCCATAAACCCCACGGAAAAAGAGCCTTTTGCACCATAGGCTATGCAAGACGTTTAACAGGGCACGAACAGACAGATTCCACTTGAGTTGTGAACCCATACTATGTTGCTTCATTTCCCGCAAGAGTTTTATGTAAAATAGCTTACATACCTTTGTTTTGAGTACCAAAAAGAAAAAAGCCAAACCATGCCGTTTCCTAAGAAATGGTGCAAATATTTCCTGATCAGTGTCTGAGAGTCACGCGGTTCACATGTGTACTTGCGAAGACGAGCCGCGACCAAATGGTTGACTACGGCTGCGATCCATACACAAGACATGTAAATTGGCTACAGCCACTTTAGGTACATTTGTGTGTAATTCTTAGCCACGCTGGTTAAAATGGCAGTTGGCTGCGGCATGCTGGGGGTCACACTGAACAATCACAGGGCTCCTCAATATTTATGTCCAAACTGAGGGAAGACGAGCAACAGCCATTGGGTACCAGTGCACATGAGCGTGCTCTCGCACAGTGAACACTTCCTGTTGAGCGGCTCTTCAACACTCCCAAAGGAACAAATCGTGCCCGTGAAGCAATGTAAGGGCATTTTTCAAATAAATGATATGACAAACACGATAGATAACATCCCAAAAATGGGACTGTGATTCGTTTGTATCTGACGATTTCACATTTATCCCGCCACGACTTTCATACATAGGCCTATAATTATTGCCCGAATATATTATGGTCATTGCTTCCCGAGCACGGCCTGCTTTTGGACTGGCCAGCCAGCCCTGCACGCACACTACTGTACATATGCTGGCATGTACATGTAAGTTGTGCGCAGTTTCGCTGTGCATGGTACAATGCTCAAAGCAGAAAGCGCGGTGTGCCATGAGCCTTTGGTGGTCATGAAAGCGTTTGTCTTTGCATACGTACATGTACATGTGCAGCGTGTGCGCTCATTGAATTCGCGTAGGAAACCCCCCCTCCCAGCGTGTTGGACCATAATCATACATAAACATTTGTCATGATAGCTAGTGCGAGCACGTGTGTTGGTTCAACGTTTTCTTATTTTGATTGAGATCGGTTTGTTACTATCTGCATCAACTGAACAAAGCAGAAGTGCAGTTTAAACTTTCAAATCCCTCCAGTTTTTTTTTTTTTGGGGGGGGAGAAATGCTCGTATCAGGAAGGACTGTCGTTAGGTATTTTAAGACTTGTGTCCCGTTACTCCACCAAGTCCAAGTCCACCAAGCTCTACAGCTTGATTCATGGTACAAATGACAACTGTGCCAGTTGCATAACCAAAGTCCTAGGGAAAAAAATACCATTAAATTCTATCATTTGCAGTTTTTGAAGTACATGTAGACCGTACTTTTCACCATGTTAGAAATGGAGGCCAATCTAATTGGAGCATTTCTCTGTTTGGAGCAGCATTCATTTCCATCGATATTGTGGCAAAGTCTAGATAAAAGATTGTGAAAAGAACAAAAATGCTTGTCATTTTCAAAATGTTCCTTTGACCTAAGATATTTTGTGAAAGAAAACAACATGTGATAGCACCTTTGCATTTGTGTTCTGTCTAGAAATTTAAAGACGAGTCGCGTCAGTCACTAGTAGTTAGTCTTGTCTGTCTTACAGCATGAGGCAGAGTATCGGTCAATCCTGAGTGCTGTCTCGGCGGGTGCGAGTGAGAAGAAACTCGCCGCTCAGTTCATCCCTCGCTTCTTCAAGTTCTTCTCGGGACTCGCAGAAACTGCCATCAATGCGCAGCTGGACCTGTGTGAGGACGACGACTGCATGGTGTGTATGATGATAAGTGACAGGTGACAAAAAGCCATTGTGGCATGACTTGAGGACTGTGACAGGTGACAGGTGACAAAATGTCATATGTGCATTGGTCGATGTCTGTGCGAGGGAGGGTTGAGCAGTGCGTAGCACTTTCAGAATGACAGATGGGAAAATGACAGATGACAAAGGACAGATGATATTTGGAGATCAAAATATAGTTTGATGTACAAAGTATAGTGTTTGATAGATAAGCACGTCTATTTGGGGGTGCAGTGTTCAATGCCATATGTGATTCACTCTGTGAAAATGAGTCCTAATTCGCCGGAGCCACTTTGGAGCAAAAGGTCCTTTAGAATAATTTTGCGCAGTGTAAATCAATAGGAACCCACAGCATTTGTCACCATGGAGTATCCACTTTGATCAGGATGCCAAACTGAGTGATACATCAAAACAAACAACTCAGTTTGCTCTTTCCAATACAAATGAAAACTCAAAAAGTGGCTCTGGCAACTTAAGACTCATTTTCACAGAGTGGGTCACATATGATATACATGTGCCATTGAATTGGCTCATGCAGTCAGTGTTTGTGATATTTGCAATGCACCAATATGCCAAACATTAGCAGCTCTGTCTTGCCAAACATTAGCAGCTCCATCTTGCCTGTTTTGAAAGCTGAAACTTTAGCCAGAAATAAAACTGGCAGCAAGTGGTTTAAAAGTTTTGCCTTTTCCTTTGTCTTTGATGGCATTCTGTCTTGTACCCCGTCTCCCATGTAGATTCGTAGAGCCGCTATCAAGGAGCTGCCCAACCTCTGCAGAGAAAGCACAGACCATCTGCTGCGCATCGCCGACGTCTTGGCTCAGTTGCTCCAGTCGGACGACCCCCAGGAGATCAGCATTGTAAACAGCGCCCTCATGTCACTCTACAAGATCGACATGAAAGGTGGGGATTCGTTCCTCCCCTCCTTCTCCCCCCCCCAAAACCCCAAAAAGTTTTCCCCATGCTGCTGACCTTGAAACAGTGCTCAATCTAACAGTTTTCGACAGATACAAGCAGGTCCAGGGGCGTGGCTGGGGGGGTCCACGCCCACCATAAAAAATCGTTTACCCCCAGTCGTCCCTCCTCTCCCCCTGGCTTGATGTGATCATGATTATGTACACGTATATGTCCAACATCCAGTCAGCCCCCCCCTTTAGCGGGAAGCCCCCCGCTTGCCCCCGTGCTCAGAACCCTGGCTACGCCGCTGGATAATTACTGGCATTGGAGTGGTTGAGCAACAAGTTCAGAATGTGTGGCACCGAATTAGCAAAACCTTGGAATTGGAGGGATGTGGGGTTAGTCTGATTTGAAGTGGGTGGGATTAATCTGATTTGAAGTGGGTGGGATTAATCTGATTTGAAGTGGGTGGGATTAATCTGATTTGAAGTGGGTGGGGTTGGTCTGATTTGAAGTGGGTGGGGTTAGTCTCATTTGAGGTGGGTTAGGGTTAATCTGATTTTTGCCAAGAATAGATGGCGTCTATTGTGATTTTTACTCAGAAAAAAATTTGCTTGGGTGTTTGGAAATTTTCAGGATGGAAAGGTTCACTAAAAAAATCCAGTTTCTGCACAGCGTACTCCTAACTCTGAACTATGTGCATAAAATATGTTCGTTTCAAATAATTTAGAAAAGCTTCAATCCTATTTTTATAATTAAACCGCACCCAATTGGTACCACACCCATTTGGATCCACACCTATCTGGTGTCACGCCCACAGGTACACTGGGAGGGTTGTTCAGCCAGATCCTCTCCGGTGAGGACCTCGTCCGAGAGCGAGCCATCAAATTCCTCAACACGCGCCTGAAACTGGGCGGATCCGACAACGTGCCCAAGGAGGTGGAAGAATTCGTCATCGAAAAGACAAAGGAGGTGAGTACAGACCAGAGACAGGAACTTATTTGCGATTGTGAGAAGAAGTGTTGAATGATTTCAGGAGAATTAGGACTTGCGATGTTACATTGTATGTCAAAAGATGCCGGCCATATCAAGCCTTTGAAGAAAAACTTAAATATTCAGCCCTAAATAAACAAGTACAGCATTCTTCTTTCCTTTTGACAGGTGTTAACTGATGTGACGGGTGAAGAATTTGTCACCTTCATGCAGCTGTTGTCCAAAATGCCCTCGATGCAGACCCTGACTGGCAGACAGCAGATGGTGGAGTTGGTGGCGGAGCAAGCCGATCTGGAATCACAGTTTCTGGTATTTGCATCGTTTTTTTAAACCCTTTGCTTCATCTCCCTTTGTTGATTAGGGATTCTGAAGAATTAAATAAAGCTTTCATGCTCCAAGCAAGCAACAAGTGGACATCCTTAGACATCCCATATTTTCTCTCCACAGCCACAAGATCCCGATATAGTTGATAGACTGGTGCAGTGTGTCCGTGAAGCTCTGCAGTTCTTCTCTGTAAGTACTTGAAGACATTTTCAAATGGACATCGGTGAAATGCCTTAGAGAACGGTAGTTTGTGGGTCCTTGTGGCTTTTGCCTTGTCAGTCCAACTCAGATCTTGGCTGAAATATGCAGAGGGGGTGACTTGGTGAAGTTTTTTCTTCATGTCCTCCGAACCATCTTAAAGAAATGAAATAAATAATCAAATTACAGAGCCAGGTTTTGAATATCGGGGGGAAAATCTGCAGAAAAAAAGTTCAAGAACTTCAGAAATGTTTACAAGAAGTTAGAAAATTGGTGTAATAAAATTGTTATTGGCTCTGAGAGGCCAAATTATAGAGGCAGAATTTTCTGGCGTACTCGTCCAAAGCATCTTGTGTTTATGACCCGCAATAGTTCAGCTTTAGAGTTGTAAAAGTCTGTTCTGTTTACAAATTTCTTCTCTTGGGTTTCAGAAAAATGTCCCGTCTAACAAATTTGTGGTCTATATGTGTGACAACGTTCTGCCGGTTCTCGGTGACATCGTCCCACCAGGCAGTGGTGAGACTAAGGCAGAAGAAACGGAGGACAAGACATCCTCAGAGAAAGCGTCCTCAGACAAGGCGTCCTCAGACAAGGCGTCCTCAGACAAGACGCCTTCGGATTACGACGTCAAGTTAGAGTTGCTCCGACAGCTAGCTGAGATGGCCACTTATGCGGTAAACGCCGGTGGGGACGAGACACTCGGAAGAGTGTTTGACAAACTTCTGGTAAGATTTCTGGTAGTGTTGTCATGGTAACCCAGGGGTTACTTTATGTTCAACTTCCTCTCCAGTATGTACACCTGTGAAATGTTTCCCTGTGTCCTGATTCAGAACAACAGCAATGGATGTATGCCGGAATGGACCTATCTTGCACTCAATGTTGATAATTTTAAGTGTATTTTGTGGTTTTAACGTTTGCTGTGAATAGTTATGTCCATAATCCGCTTTTGTCCATTTTGGCTATTTATGTGAGATGTAATGCAGTTTATTGGAGGGAGAAGATTTCAACGTGAACTGTCACTCTGTAAGAAATTGACTGGCGTTATACCAGACACTGCATGCTAAAACAAACACTAACGAAAAGCACAGTCTGGTGCCGGACTATTCCTCAGTAACACACAGATCCAAAATTGTTAACATGCAAATAATGCAGTACCAGGTTGAAAGAGCAGATAGCTGTGAGAGTGTTCTACTTGACACCCTGGGAGTGAGGTTGCAAAGGACCGACCTATGAAAAACAACAAACAAGCAAACAAAATACAAACAAACAAAATGCAAACAAACAAACAAAATGCAAACAAACAAAGGTAATCATGAAGAAATATTCACTTGCTTATCGACGAGAGGTAGACCTGCGAATGTTTTTTCAAAGGTAGAGCCATCGTGAAATGACTGCATAGTAATCCACCTGTCATCCTGAGTGGGGTGTGAGCCTGATCCTTGAGTGGGTTGGGATAGACAACCAGACTCCTGAAATTAATATTCTTGGTAATATTTAGGCAGTTATCCACTTGCATCACTAATTTACGTCAACTTTTAAGTCCAGTCATTTATTTAAATTTGATACGTTTTGGTATGCTTTGCATAGTCCTAAGATTGAAAAGAATTTCCCATTATTAACTGTTCTGTCATTTTGCTTCACTGATTTGCTGTTCCGTCTTCAGGAGTACATGCCCTTACCCCCTGCGGAAACAGAGGGAGAGAGTTTGGAGAATGGCAAAGCCACCGAGGAGCCCAAACTACAGTTCTCCTATGTTGAGTGCCTCATGTACACGTTTTACCAGTTGGCAAAGAAACTGCCGGATTTTCTGGTCTCCGAAGAGAACTCAGAAAGACTGAAAGACTTCAGAGTCAGGTATCGTGAAGTAGAAGCGAAGTTACAAGCAAAGTTTAGGCAAGAATCTGGGTGGAATTTAATTTGACAATCCAGTAATCTTGAGGAATGTAGAAATTAAGTTTATGAAATACATGCAGTTGTTGATACAGCCATTATACGGTTCATAAGTGTGACGTCACTTCAATTTAAACCACGCCCACTGCACATGCACTGCGCATAGGGTTACATACATTGATCGCCGTTTACAAGGAACCATGGAACCGGAAGTTAACGCGCAACTTCAGCGATCGGTTAATGGGAGCCTGCAACTCATGTTGTGCCTGCATTTGTGACGAAGTTACTTACGAACCGGATACTCATTTGCTTTGTATTAAACTATTTTATTTTGAGTTTACTGTCCCTCCGACCTTTCTGAGTAACTTTGGCAGCATTATTATGTGACCTGGAAAATAAACTTGTACAGGAAATAGCTGCAGTCGGTAACTGTGTGGCTGTTTCATGTATTGTTCAATTTACAGATTGCAGTATTTTGCCCGAGGCACGCAGCTGTACATGAAACAGTTAAGACTCGCTTTGCAGGGGAAAGTGGGCGATGAAATGAAGAAAGAGGAGAACAGACTGAAGGTCGTTGCCCTTCGAGTCACAACCAATATCAACACCTTAACTAAGGTCAGCTAAGAGTAATTACATTGTCCTGCTGCTGTTGTTGCTTGTCTTTTATTATTCAAATATTTTAATTAGCACCCAGTCAGTATTATTCAAATATTTC